ATTTTGAGTTATCATATGATCAATATAAGGTTACATGCATTTATAAATTCTAAATAACTTTATGCTTTAGATTTATTGAATGTAAACTGAAATTTATTTTAAATAATCTTAAATTGTGAATTAAGATTTGCTTTGATATTTTGATTATGGTTATATTTAGTTTCACCAATATAAACATAAAATTTAAAACAATTAATATTAATAAAATAAATAATTTTAATAATGATAAAATATCATATATCTAGCTCATTAGAACAATTATTTTGACGAAACGATGTTATTGTTAAATTTATTTTTAGTTTTTAATATCTCTTAAAAATAAGCACTACACAAAATTGTGATTGTATTTGAAAATAATATTATATAAGCAAAATATAAGTTCTAGATAATTTTCTGTAATTGAAAGATATTATAGTCAACTAAATATATGAAAAATAAATAAAAATTCAATAATACTAATTATAAACTATTTTATTACTCTAAAAGTATATTTTATGTTATTTAAAAATATTTTAAATGTATTATTACTATTTTGTGAACTTTCCTTTTTTATGAAATTATATTATATATACATATTTTTATGTTATTTAAAAATATTTTTAAATGTATTATTACTATTTTGTCAACTTTCTTTTTTATGAAATCATATTATATATACATATATTTTCGTTTTAAATTTGTTTTTTATGACTTTATAAAAAAATGCATTTTTATTGCATATCTTTTTGGAAATTTTTGAAAAGGAAAAACTAATAATAAAAGAATTAATAATACTATTTTCAACTATTTTTAATTCATTAAGGATATCAATGTAATCAACCATCGTGAGAATGAACGTGAGAGCGACACATAGGAAAGTGACTTCTCAAATAATATTATAGAGATTAACAACAAGTTGGATTATCTATCATCTTGATGATCAAGTCAGAATCCTTATACAATATATTTTATCAAATCAAAATCCTTATAAAATATTTTTTTTTGTCAACTGTATAATCCTTATAAAATATAACATGGCATTTTTATCAACTTGATAAACAAATTTAAAAATATATATTGCTTCCAAATATATATATTTATGTTGTCTTGTAGTTTTTTTTCTGCTTATAATTGTCTTATAGTCGTATGCATTATTCAAAAACTGTTTGTATCCAGTTACTGTACATAAGTTTTCTCATATGGTTGCATTTTAGCAAATATTTAACAATCTCACTAGAAATCTTCTTCTAACATTTAACTTTCGTCAAAACTCTTATCATTTTTGTTCATTCAAAAATGAAAAAAATATTTCATTTTTTTTTTATATATATAACAATAACACTAACAAATTGACACCAATGGGCAAGTGTGCACGATTAGTTGTATAAAAGTTTAGCATTGGAAAAGGGATCAAAGGGAATATACTTTCCTAGAACGTAATTTGATTTATGTAATTTCCTCAAACTATGCACGGTTTTAGCCATTTTAGTTCAAACTACAGCGCAAATCTCCGTTAAATTATTCTTTTTTTCTTGTCAAAGTTGAGATTTTGCAATCGCATTAATAAAATAACCACAAACAACAAAAGTCAAATTACAAAAGTCAACTCCTGTTTTGTTTTTGTTTTACTTTCTGTTTGAAGGAATTAAAATAACAGATTTGTAAATATATAAAAGGATTCGAATCGGTGTAGAAGAAAAAGATCAAAGAGGAATGGAGATGGAAGAAGCGAGTCGTGAAAGTGGGCATGTAGTGTGCGGATCATGGATTCGTCGACCGAAGAAAGTAAACTGGGCCATCATCGCCAAAGCTGCAAAACGTCGTGGCTCAGCCTCTCCTGCTCTACTTCACATCTTCTCTTTCGATCCCATCACTACTTCTCTCTCCTCCTCTCCCTTGGTATATATTCATTATTCCTTAATTTGATTTTTTCAAAAGAAATTGGGTGAAATCTGAATCATGTTAACATATTTTCAAGGTATATTTTTGTCTGAGAAAGCAGGGACAAACTCTTTCCTTTGATTTACTAATGAAAGCAAAACAAATTGTTTGTCATTCTTTCTTTGATGTAAAGGCAACACATCCGCTTAAAGAGAGTGATGGTGATCCTGTGGCAATCTCAGTGCATCCTGGTGGAGACTATTTTGTTTGCTCAACCTCCAAAGGTGGTTGCAAGTACGTTTCTTTCTTGCTTGTTTTTTTACCTTCACAAAGTGTCATAAAAAGATCATATAGTGCTTTTCTTTGATACCATGGTTTTGTTTGAGTTGGTATTGTTAACTGTGTGATAACTTCTATCTCGTTCCTGTCTGGAGAACTAGACGTACATTTGTTGGAGACTGCTGTGCATCTTCTTGCCTTTTATAAATATTTCTTTTTGATCCTTGTATATTATCTAGTCTTGCATCCATCGTTTGCAACTCTACTGTTTTATATCTATTTCACACATCCTATAGAACTAGATCTGAAGTCCACCATATTTGATACTGTTAGTAAATATAGTATGACTGAACATATTGTACATAGATATCTGGCTCTTTGTCAGTACAATTTTTTATTTACGGTCTAGATGGTAAACAAATATTATTTGGTATTTCAGGTTGTTTGAGATTGTCGAAGGAGCAACAACAGGAGGTATTACGATCTTAGCCAAAGAACTCCCTCCTCTAGAAAATGCTGGACTACAAAAGTGTATGGCCTTCAGCTTTGATGGCTCTAAGTTAGCTGTTGGGGGAGTGGTAAGGACGAACTTCAACTGCTTCATAAGGGATTTTTTTTCCGTTGTTGCGACAGTTTTGGTTGTAGCTTTACTTACTGTAAACTATATTCAGGATGGATGTCTCAGAATTATGCAGTGGCCAAGCCTAAGTGTAATTTTGGATGAGCCTAAGGCACACAAATCCATCCGTGATATGGATTTCAGGTAAACACCGGAACTTTCTCTCCCTTCATATTGTTTTCAACTTAAATCATAGCTAGTAAGAAGATGATCTACTAGAAAGATTTAGCACTTGTGATGGTAAGCATATTGTCTGCATCTCTCTCATATCTGCGTCTTTTGTTGTGTAGTCTGGACTCAGAGTACTTAGCCACAACATCAACAGATGGATCAGCTAGAATATGGAAAGCAGAAGATGGTTTCCCTTTGTTTACTTTGGAACGTTGTGGGGTATGTGATAATGCGAGTTTAAAGTTTGCATTCTGATCCCTATCTTTCAGAACAAATATATATCTTAAAATATATGTATATTCTTTTTGATATACCATGATTCTGTGCAGGATGAAAATATTGAACTGTGCCGGTTCTCTAAAGATGGAACAAAACCTTTTCTGTTCTGTGCTGCTCAGAGAGGTATGTTGGTATACAATACAGCTAACTCTCGAGTAAAAACTATTACAAGCATCGACCACTTGTGTTTTATTAAAATTCAGAGTAAAATGTAATAGTTTAAACTATTTGAATCAGGTGATATTCCCGTGGTGAATGTTTATGACATTAGTACATGGAAGAAACTTGGGTTCAAGAAGCTGTCAAGGAAGAGTGCATCTACAATGGCAGTCAGCTTGGATGGAAAATATATTGCTTTGTGAGTGTTTCTTCACCTTTAACTGGTTCAACCTTTTGATAGTACAAAGGTCAATAAAATCTTTTTTTGCAATTTATTTTGAAGGGGTGGCAAAGATGGGGATATATCTGTTGCTGAAGTGAAGACAATGGAGATATACCACTACAGTAAGAGGCTGCATCTTGGTCAAACCATTGTTTCACTTGAGTTTTGCCCTAGTGAAAGGTATGGTGATAAATCAAAAACCCTTTAACTCCCATTATAGACTAGCACTGTTCCTAATCTTTGTCTACCTGCTTGGGGAGGGGTTTAGGGTAATGCTGACAACATCGAGTGAATGGGGTGAGATGGTGACAAAACTCACTGTACCAAAGGAGTGGAAAGGTTTTCTTGTAGCTCATCTCTCTCACTCTCTGCAAAACATATATAAGCTTCTGTCTCTGACTCATATCTAATTTGTTTGATGTGCAGAATGGCAGATATATGCATTGTTGTTTTGCTTGTTCATGGCGTCAGTGATACTTGCGTACGTGTTCTTCGAGAACTCGGATTCGTTTTGGAAGTTACCAATGGGGAAAGATCAAAGAAGACCAAAATTTAGTCTTTTTGGAGATTCATCCACACCTACTGAGGATCATAATAGGTGGAACTTGGACCTATAGATAAACGATTTTATGTAAATCCAGCTAACCTTTTCTGTTAGCTAGCTAGGGACGGTCCAATGGGTGATCTACGCTAAGTTATTACTTTCTAAATCTAAAGAAAAGTATATTCAAAAGGAAAAGTTGATGCATAAGCAAAAGTTTTTTATTTGTTTTATAAAAAAGATGAACAGAAGATTGGAAATTAGTTTTTTTTTTTCTTTGAGTTTCTGTAGTTGTTGTGATATACTCACTCCTTTCATATTAAGTGTGTCATTGTATCAAAGACTTTATTCCAAAAATAAATGTCATTTTCGACGTAACATTTATTAATTTTATATTATTTTTTATTTTTGTATTTGTTGAAATATGGTTAGATGTATAGATAATTATGTTTTTATATAAAAATATGTAAAATTAGTTTTTTTCGTAATCCATATGAATAAAGTTAAAGTGACACTTAATATGAAACATGTGAATATTGTTTAATTAAGTGTGGTTGTTTTGGACATATAATAAAATTTAGTTTTTGCTGTGTTAATACTTTGATAGAAATAATGTATGAAAGTTAAAATGATAATGTATTATTTAGTGGCAAAGAACATAGACAGTATGACTTAAAAAAATCATAGTTTTGGCTATAGAGTCATTTTGTCAAGTATTGGTGATGATCCCATGAAATTACGTATTGATTAATCCGGGAAATTGATTAATCCGGGAGATAATATCTCCTATGATTTTTGTAATGAGGTCTTTAATGTTAGATTGACTGATTTACATTTATTTCGAAAGATAGACTATGGAAAAAGTTGTTGTATTGTAAAGGAGGTTGCTAGTCTTTTATATCTATGTAAATACACAAAACCTTTATGGTGAGTTAACAAAATGATTTATTGAAAATGGTAATTTAGTTGTAATATTGTAGGCTAAGGTATGTGGATTTTAATTAATGCATCAAACATCCACTATAAAACTAAATAAAGTTTACTCGTAATAGGTAAATTTGAAACTTAAACACATTGATGTTTGCGTTTGTTTTTAGTTTTGTATTGCCGTGAGTAATTTGATTTTGAAAAAGTCAAATAAACTATTATTGTGAATTTCTAATTTGTATGATTGATTTTAATTTATATATATTATAAATATATTAGCATAATCAAATTTATTAATTATGTTTTATTTTAAAAAATAAACTGTATTTTCTAATTTTGTTGTAAGTTTATGTATTTTTCAATTTCTTCAGTCATGTAAATCTTAAAAAAAAAATATTAATAACGTTTTATAGTTATGTAAAAAAGAATTTACATATTTAAATATCAAAATTATCAAAATTAGATATTTACGTGAAGCAATATATATGAAGATGATATTATATTTATTACTAGCAAATAATTATTTCAATACTATTAAATGATTTTAAAACTACTATTTTACAATTCGTATCTTTACTACTTTTACAGTTAGTTTTTTTTAATTAAATAATTTAACAATCAGATATAAGCACAATAGTACATAAAGATAACAAATTGACATTGACATTAACTTACCTATAACAACATTAATAATTTTATAGTGTCGAAAAAAAAACACATATAAGCATAATAGACACATTAACTTACATACAATATCAAAATACTACATACAAACACCTAAGTATAACTATTACAATAACAAACGTATGACAACATGACAAATATGACAACAATAAAAATTATCACCAGTTTAAGCATAAAAGAATATAAGAAAAAAAATTTGAAATAATTATTCTACAAATATTATTTGTTTAGAATTTGAAAGAAAAACTACTATTAAAGCTTCTTTTTTATAATTTTCTTATGTTCAAGATTTTAGAAAATCATAATTACTATCAAATATGTTTCTCAATTACCATTTCTTTAGGATTTTTCAAATCTTTTTTAATTATTTTTTTAAAAGAAAATGGTTTTGAAAAACTGCTATTAAATCATTTCTAAAAATTGGAAAATCGTTTTCATTATCTTAGTATATATATTTTGTTAATCATGATTAATTTTAACATATATAAAAATGTTAAACAGAAAATTACTATCAAATATATTTTTACGTTAATTTTTTCTTTAGGCATTTAGAAAATTCTATTAGTAATTAATAATTTATTTTACGAATATTGTGTTATAGGATTTATAAAAAGGAATACTACAATTAAACACTTTTTTTTACTTTTAAAAAATATTTGAAATTAATATGTTAAAATTTCCTTCTTATTATTTTAAATCTTTTTAATTAGGATTTGTGAAATGGAAAATTTACAATTAAACACTTTTAACTTCTTTTGTTTTTACTTTTTTTTTTTTTTTAAATTAATATCTTTACAATTTAGTTTTATTATCTTAGTATATATATTAAAAATCATCATCAGTTTAAGAAGAAAAGAAAATAAATAATATTTGAAAGAATTAGTTTAATAATAATTTATTTTATGAATATTGGTTTTTAGGATTTATAAAAAGGAATACTACAATTAAACACTTTTTACTTTAAAAAATATTTGAAATTAATATGTTAAAATTTCCTTTTTATTATTTTAAATATTTTTAATTAGGATTTGTGAAATGGAAAATTACAATTAAACACTTTTAACTTCTTTTGTTTTTACTTTTAAAAAAAATTAAAATTAATATCTTTAAAATTTAGTTTTATTATATTAGTATATATATTAAAAATCATCATCAGTTTAGGAAGAAAAGAAAATAAATAATATTTGAAAGAATTAGTTTACAAATATTTTGTTTTTAGGATTTTAAAAACGCAAAACAACTATTAAATATTCTTTCATAATTTTCTTATGTTTAAGATTTTAGAAACGAAAAATTACTATAAAAGAGTTTTTTTAATTATCTTTTCTTCAGGATTTTGGAAAAGGAAAATTAGTATCAAATAAATTATTTTGCAGATTTTTTTTTTGTTCATTTTAAAAGAACATGGTTTAGAAAAAATGCTATTAAAATTATTTCAAAAATTACTTTTAGTAGTAAAAATCATTTTCGTCATCTTCGTATATATATTTTGTTGACCATGATATATTTTAACATATATAAAATTTTTTAAAAGGTAAAATACTATCAAATAATCTTTTTAGGATTTTAGAAAATGCAAATTGGTAATAAATAAATTATTTTACTAATATTTTTTTTTGTTTAGGGTTTGTAAAGAAAACGAAAACTACAATTAAACACTCTTTACCTTTTTTCATTACTTTTAAACCATATTTAAAATTATTATTTTCAAAATTCGTTTTTACGATTTTAAATATTTTTCATTATTATTTTCAAAATTTTTTTTTATGATTTTAAACATTTATTTTGTTTTTTAATTTTAAACAATTTTTAAAATTAAACCTTCAAAATTACTTTTTACTATCTTAGTATATATATTTGAAATCGTAAGATATTTTAATATAGTTGATAATATTAAAAAGAAAAATTATTATCAAATATTGTTTTTGTAAATATCTTTTATTTAGGATTTAAAAATGGACAATTACTATTAAATAATATTTCTAAATTATTATTTTTTTTTAAATTCATTTTTATCATTATCTAAATAATTATATATATATATTATTATGTGATAATTTAATACATGTCACAATTTTAAATATATAATCGCCATGTGTCTCGAACATGTTAATTAGTAACTTTGAAAAACCAAGTTTTATATAATAAGATTAAGTTTATCTATTTTCCATAATTTAAAAATATTAAAAATAGAAATATATCAGTATAACAAAATTTATTAAAATATAAATTTATTGAAAACCCATTTATTAAAGGGTAAACGTTTGCAAGTTAATTGGGAACTAGGTGATTTTCCCGTGCTCATGCACGGGTATGAATATTTATAAAAGTAAAATTTTACAATAATTGATTGATATTTAGTTTTAGTTTTGAATAAATTTATATGTATAATTTATATTAATAAATATTATATTATTCTAATTATACATATGATTTTGGATATATTATTGTCGGTTTAATTATTTTTTCGATCAATATTCAATTTGGTATATCGGATAATATCTATTTTCGAATTCAACTATAATTATTTTTATTCTAAATATAATAAATTTTTGATTAAATTTCTTATTTATATTTCGGTTGGTTATTGTCTTAGATATGCAAAGATATTATAGTTAAATTATGTATAACTTATTATTATTGTGCTTAAAATGGAATAAGTAATACGCTGAACTGTTTGATTCAAAATTACATAAATGAATATAATGATAATATTTTGAAGTGTCATGCATATATATAAATTCTACAAAAGAATTAAATTGTAATTGGTTAATATTTTCTTTTTCTTTTTTAATATGCTTTGAGTCAACCTCTAATTTATGTATAAAATTAAATAGATTATTATTATTATATTATTATAAAATTATATGTTCTTATTGTAGTTAGATGTTTAATTTTGGATATGTTCATGAACATATATATTTTTATTATTTTGAAAATGTATTTTATGTTATTTTAAAATATATATTAATGGGGGTATTACTATTTTGTGAACTTTCCTTTTTTAATAAAGTCATATCTATATATATAAAGTAATGTTTCCCTCTTTTTCCCTTTGCCACGTCATCAATTCAAGTCCTGTGAACATGACACCTGTCCACAAAAAATTAATTGCAGCAAAAAATTGGGCTTCTTGCTGATCTTTAAAATTACAGCCCAAAACAAGCCTTTTTCTTCATCTCCTTCACGTCACTTGAGTTCCTGTCGATCTGTAACAAAAAAATTCTGAAGCGTTCGTTCTCACGCACCTTCAATGGTGTTTCTAGGGATTTGGCTGACTAAAATCGAGACAATGATTCTCTTTGTTTATCTCCACCGGCGTGGTTTAGTCTTCTATTCGACTCGACAGAAACCGTCCCCTCTGAAGAAGAAGAAAAAGAAAAAACTATGTTTCTCGACAAATCCGAATATGCATCGTCGATCGGTGTCCCATCCCCTCGCCCCGATGATGGCAAGTCGTAACTATCGGTCCTTGCATTCAAGAATACTCATTTACCCTAGCTTTAACACCACTGACCCATGTCTTTCACTATCCTTCATTCAATGGCCCCTTTCCTTCCTAAAGACGATGAAACTGCCTTATAAATAAGGGTTCTCGGTCTGCAGATTCATCAGCTCATCATTAGAATCATAAGAAAACCTCACACCAGGAATGGCTGTCCCAACGATTTTGCTTCCCCACTTCAAAGCTGGACGTCGTTCCAACACAGCCGGAGTCTGATTGATTTGATTCAGGGAAGTCGGAAACCATAAGAAAGGCGGCGAACTCTTGGCCTAAGTCTCTTATGGGTGTTGAAACGCACCTCAGGTTTGTTTGTCTTTGGAAGATAAGTTGTTTGAGAAGTGAATGTAATGCTCCCTTCTCTTTATCCCTCTACAACACAATTGATGTTATAGATTATTTTGTTGCTTAATGTTTTTATTCCTGATTGCTGACTCTTTATCCCAAATTGTGTATAGCAGAGGAGGTAACATGAGGCTCTTATGACGTCTCTGATGCTTGGCAAACATGATCAAAGTTGGATTCCTTGGTTTCTTCAATTTAGAATCCACAAATGTTTGTTCTATCAACTTTGTGTTCTTCTTTTGAATCTTTTCAGTTGCTAAAAGATAGACCAAATATAGCAATGTGCCTATTTTTAGAGAATGAAACTATGTTACTTATATTTCTTAATATTATACTATTTTTGTGTAATAACCATGGCAATGTAATCTCCAACTGTTTATTATTATTATCAATAATGCAGATCTCTGTAAGGTTTGCACCCGGTCAAGAGTTATTCTGTTTCAGGAGAGGTCCTGAAGAATGCACCAGTTCTTGCTATTGATTATGAGAACTTTGTCAGCTGTTTTTGGCTTACTGTAGAGGTAAAATAGGAGGCAATTCCTTAGTTTTTTTTTTTGCATCAGAAGCCTTGATAAAAAAGAACCAGATCATGAGTTTGTTCCAATGAAAGATTTGGGATGCTCTTTAGCACTGAGGAGTTTGATATTTTTGTAAACTGTGGAGCATTCGGAATGGTCTCTTAAGTGGCTTTCTGAAACTACACAGTATCAGAGATTTATGTGAATTTAGCCAAGGTGTGTTGGTCTTGAAAGATGCTTCGGTTGGACTGCCCTATAACAACAATGGAGAAAGATAAGTACATTCCAAAGACAATAGAATGTGTTGCTATGGAAAAAATGGATAGCTACAGATTATGATATTCAACTCTTATAAAAGAAGTCCAAATTTTCTATTTCGCAGAAGAACAACAATTTTGTTGTACAAGGAAGTTTAAGTTTTTTATTTTATTTTAGATGATTTGGTTTTATTTAGTTTAGCGTGCTCTGGTTTTTGTACAAAATTATAATGCAACATCAGTTTCTCATGCAATGATTTCACTTTAAACCATCAAAGGATTCACAAAATGAAAACATAATTTAATTGAAGTGTATAGTTAAATATCCTGTGACATGAAACTTGCAAAAGTAACTTTGTGTGTTTTGAGTCAAAGTTATAAATTTCTAAACATAATAAAATATACATAAAGCAAAATTGAAATATATATAAAGTTAATTATTTATATAACTAGCAAAAATTGAAAACCCAACTATTTTTGCTACTAAAACCTTCCGAAAGGTGTATCTCAGGCTTTCAAATATCACTTGAGTTATTAATTAATAAAATTCTGGACGAGTTTATTTTTACATATGTGCTACAATTTTTATATATGTATATAAGATTAAAATATGTATTTGTAAAATATATTCTGTCAAATAATATAAGCAAATGAAACTTTATTTTTGTGCTGGATTATAAAGCATCACTTCGATGATATTGGTCTAAACAGAAACAAAGCATTTTATTTTTTTTATTATACTGTAAAATGAATCTCCGATTTTATTTTGCATATAAATATTTTGTTTTATTTTATTGAAATACATATAAAAATTTTTATTCTATCATATGGATTCAACAAATATAAAATATATTAATAGCCCTAACAAAAATTTCTGAAATTCAAATTTATAAAAGTTAATTAATATAAAATATTGTGAATATAATATTTTTAATGTTTTAAATAAAAAACCTTAGAAAGAAAAAAGTATACTCCAAATTTTTTAAAAATATAAATTATCATAATCTAAAATTATTGTAGCTTCTCAATACACTTGCAAATAAATATTTTTTTTATTGACATAAATCAAGTACACATCATCCATGTAGAGGAAGCCACTAAACGTAACATGACTGATGAAAAACCAAGCTGGCATCTTCTGAAATCCGTTTATGATATACCCAATCAGCAGAGAACAAAATGATGTGTACTGTCCTTACCACATCACCCAAATTGTTCCAAACCATGAAGTAAACATATGCGCTTCTCTGATATTATAGGTTTACTTTGCTCTCCGTTCTAAGACCATGGCCAATTCAGATTTGTAATTCCGAGAGCTTTAGTACATGAAATTGACTATGCAGTAGTGGATGGAGTTATTTAAGTACATGAAATTGACTGTCAGAGTTATATATACATATTTTACAATATAGAAATTGTGAATGATGTAGCCATGATTATAATTGTGGAGCTATTAACTATATTGTATATTTTATTTTAAACAAACACTTAGTTCAAAAATGGAAACGTTATACTAAAATCCTCAAATCTGCATGTTCTGAGAATGATCATTGTCCAGGATCCTCTTTAAACATACAGTTACATATTTAAATAGTGTGTTTTTCTTTGTTTTCTTATTTCAGTTGTAACATAGAGAATGTAAAATATCCCAAAACCATTAAATTCAGATCAATGATTTTAAAAATACATGTATGAGATTAAATAAGAAAATATCTACTTAATCTATACAAGAATTGACCAATATAAAAAAATCTATGCATAAATTAATATAAAGAAGAAGAAAATAAACAATTTTGACATCGAAAATAGGATTTATGTTTTTTTTATTTAAAAAGAAGAAACAACATGAAGACCATTTGAAACCCTCAACATCTCAATGCAATAACTATTTAATATATAAACAAATATTGTAAACAATCAAAGTTTATTTTATTACTTATAATCTCTCAATAAGCTGTAACTTTTTAAAAGACAAAGTCATTATTATAAATATCTCTTGCAAATGCAAACCTAAAAACAAACCCCAAAGGCCAAAATCATACAAAAATAATAATCTAGATCATAAGTAAAGTATATCCCGCCCGTAGGGCGGGCTGATCTAGTTATATACATATATTTTCGTTTTAAAATTTGTTTTAAAATTTTAGAAATATTTCATTTTTATCAAATATGTTATTTGGAAAAAGGTAAAAAAGATACTAAATAAAAAAAAATTAATAATAATCTTAAAATCTAACAATTCATTAAGGGTATACATGTAATCAACCATCGCGATAGTTAACGTAAGCGCGACACATAGGAAACTGACTTCTCAAATAATATTATAGAGATTTCAAATCAACTTCAAAGCCACATGGATGACGTTACAATGATTCTGGACCTGAAATTATACTTACCAATAAGATCTTTATCGTCCATCTTGGAACTGACGAGTGAAGAGTGAGCAAGTCCTCGTCCCCTGACTACATTCTTTCTTTAAAAGATGAATTGCCTTCAGAATCTTCCCAGGTCTCTCTTCTTCTTGCTTGCTTGCTCTCAGCAAAATTTTTTTGTCTTTCTTCTTCTTCTGACTTATTTAATTTTGGGTGTTGATCGTTACTGATTTCAGATCATCAGTCTCACCTTTGTTGGGCTTTGTGGGCAATCAAAGAGACATTTCTTCTTTGAAGATGATGCTGGTACCACACTACTTCATCATTTATTTACTTAATAAAGATTCACTCTTCCTTTTTTTCTAAAAAAAAAAATTTCTTGAAAATTATCTCTTTCCTTTGCAGCTACCTATAAAAGCCAATGATCTTAGATGTCAACTTGTTTTACAGGTAAAATTGGTAGTTTAATGGTCATAACATGTTTGACTAGACTCACCTTTCTTCTATCACATATTGTTTGGTTATGTTTTAAATATATATATTCTGTTTTGAGTGATAGGCGGTATCAGATTCGAAATCAAGCGAAGAGGTGAGTGGTGTTTTAAAGGAGGAAGAAGAGAAGTCTGATGAATATAGCCAAGACATGACTCAAGCTATGGGTGCTGGTACGTTTTGCACTTATACTTACAGTGGATTAACTCTCTGTTGTCTGACATACTCGAATATGGATTCGGTTTGATTAGCTTGTATCCTAGTATTTATTTCCAATGTTGGCTATTTGTTTTCATTTCAGTATTAACTTACAGGCACGAGTTAGGAATGAACTACAATTTTATTCGTCCAGATTTAATTGTTGGATCTTGCTTACAGGTTTTCTTTTTATTATTCTCTTCTTAGATAATTGAAATATGGAATTTTGTTACTATATGCTCTGCTCTGTTTTGCTTAGACCCCTGCAGATGTTGACAAGCTCCGCAAAATTGGGGTTAAAACCATATTTTGCTTGCAACAAGATCCTGACTTGGAGTATCCTTTCTATTTATGTTTCTATGATCTTTTTTTTCTTCATTTTTCTTTCGGTTTGAGTGAAGCAGAATCATCTGCAGAGTACCTTGACCAATAACTGCAGATATTTTGGAGTAGATATAAGCAGCATTCAAGCATATGCTAAGACATTTACTGATATTCAGCATATTCGCTGTCAGATAAGTTTAGTCCATTGGTGACGCAACATAACATGACCTGTAAATTTTATGCTTTTTCTATGAGTTTGTGAATGCTTGACATTAACTGATGGGAAGTTAACTGAGCATATTAAGGTAGGAGAGATCATCAGAGTTGATTGTTTCCAATAGTTTTTCTTATTGCTTAAATAGAGTTGAGGTAAGGAGTTTACTTTCTCAGAATTGTCAGAGTAGAGGAGGGGACATGGGTTTATAAATTGTTGGAGAGTAGTCTCAATTGTAGCTTAGCTAAGATATCAGTAAAGTTTCTTTTGTTATCTCAGTTAATTGTTACATTTTCCCTTCTCTTGGGCCTCTTTACTCTTGTCATTTTGCCTTGACAAACTTTTTTTATTAGCAACTCTTGGTTTATGAAGAAACAAGAGAGCACATGCATATGCATTAAAACATTCCACCATGAACGTACTCACTCACAACTTATTATAATATTTTGGTGTAACAGAGACTTTGATGCGTTTGATTTGAGACTGCGTCTTCCTGCCGTGGTTAGTACACTCTACAAAGCTGTTAAGCGAAACGGTGGAGTTACATACGTCCACTGCACTGCTGGAATTGGAAGGGCTCCTGCTGTTGCGGTACGTTTGCAGAAACCTCTTTACAGTGCTCTTCCTCTCTTCTCTCTCTTGTCTTTTCTACTAGGACATCTTTCGTAGTGAGTGTTCCATGCATCGCTTTCCAAATAGTGACGCAATGTCTTATTTATGTGCTTCTATGGTTTGACTAATGAAGCAATGAACAAGTGTTAACTACAGACTAGTTCTAAGAAATGGTATTAATTTCAATTACAGTTGACATACATGTTCTGGGTGCAAGGCTATAAATTAATGGAAGCTCACAGATTACTTATGGTAAGATGTTAATGTACTTCTAATTTCTTCTCCCCCACACATAACATTGGTCTAAGCAACCATCTCTGAAAATTTTATTGCAGAGCAAACGAACGTGCTCTCCAAACCTAGATGCTATCAGGAATGCAACAATTGATATTGTGAGTCAACAGTTCTTAACTTTCAGAATGCCTGCACTTGAGTTTGTAGCTGATTAGTTCCATTAATTTGCATGCGTTAAAACAATTGTTCCTTGATTCCTGATTATTGTTTCCTGGTATATATGAACACATAAGATTACAGGACTCAAGAAGAAGCTTGTTACTCTCACACTGAAAGACAAGGGGTTCTCCACAGTAGAAGTTTCTGGCCTTGACATTGGATGGGGACAGGTGAATATGTCTTCTTATAAACCAAATGAACCATGTTGATGCCATTCTTTGAAGTTATTGTGTGTCATAATATGATGGGAAGCTAGGCTGCACATTTCTCATATCTTGTTCTGTTTTTTTTTTCACCTATCTTTCGCCTTTGTACAGAGGATACCATTGACACTGGACAAGGGAACAGGACTCTGGAGCCTAAAGAGAGAATTGCCTGTGAGTTTTGTTTTGTATAAACTAGAAAAGCTTAGTGTCAGTTTGCTTGTTTTTATCATCTTCCGTTTCCGACCATAGCTATAATTCTGAAAACGCAGGAAGGAAAGTTTGAGTATAAATATATCATAGACGGTGAATGGACACACAATGAGCTGGAGCCGTTTACAGGACCTAACAAAGATGGACATACCAATAATTACGTAAAAGTAAAATGTCTCTTTCTCTTAACTTAAAAGAGTTTGAACAAGTTTTGGTGAATGATTCAGTGCTGAATGTACCTGCTTTTTTTTAATGGAAACAGGTGGTGGATGATCCAACGAGCGTGGATGGTGTAACGAGGGAGAGGTTATCGAGTGAAGACCCTGAGCTTTTGGAAGACGAACGCTTGAAGCTGATCCAGTTCTTGGAGACTTGTTCTGAGACAGATGGTTGAGACTTGAGAGCATACTTTCAACTCTGTGAATGTACCACTTACTTGTAAACAAAAAAAAATGTGGTTGGTAAATGGTGGGAATACATAAAGTTACGTTTATAACAGAAAATACATGAAGTTAGTTGTACTTTATGTTATTACATACAAAATTAGCGGAAGTTAAGGGTGTGATTGGCTATTGCCGTAGATGTTCTCCACAGCCATAATTATACTTACAGTCCTATATCTACACCAATCATGATTTTTATTTTTTCTAAAGCTCACAGCCATTTTTTTAATTCTACAGCACTTCTTTAAATTCATGTATTTATAATTACTCTGCAGAGACAAATACATACAGCTCATATTTAAAGGCTTTTAAAATTAAAAATCTAAAGCCAAAGCAAAAAAAATCACAGCAATATTTCTACTGAAAAAAATGAAATCACAGCTCTTACCAATCACTCCCTAAAAAAACTTTTTTTTTAACTTTTAGAATTGATTCTTAAAGTCATTATTTAAACTCATCTTAAGAACTCTGAATTTTTTAGTTTTTTAGTTGAAAATTAGAAAAAGTTTCTTAACTTTCTTAAACTCATCATCCTAAGAATTCCTAATTAACAGTGTTCTCAATCTTGTGTTCTTTTTAGTACAAAAGTCTTTACAACTGTGTTCCAAAGACGAAGTAATTACACAAATTACCCCAAAAGTTAGAAAATGTACAATTTTACCCTCAAAAAGTTGAACAAATTACCAAAACTCCCGCTTGCGTTTCCCAACACTGACGACTGTGTTCTGTCTGCGTTGTTGGCGTAGGGTTTTAGCCCATTTGCAAAGATGACTCGTCTCTGAATTCTAATCTCTCTATCATCTCTTTTTCTCACGGTCGCAGGTACGCACCTCTCTTCTTCTTCTCTGTCGATGGAGTTTTTGCTATATGAACAATTCAATTGTCCTCTCTCTCTTTTTGTGTCTCGACATATAAATTTGTATTGAGACTCTCCAGTGTGCTATGCTAAGCTAACAGTTTTTGTCTGAAAGTGATGGAAGTGAATGGATCTGTTTTAGTTTAATGGTAGACTTGTAATGGTTTTTTGGGGGTTCTTATCTGGTTTTGACTTGGTTTTAACCCTTTATGCAGTATAATATATATAGAACAAAGGGAGAGAAGATGCACTCTCTAAAGACTACTTGTGTTGGGCCAATATTTGCTCTAGCTAAGCCCCACGACTCTGTAGGCAAGAGAACTCGTAATCGTATCCCCAAAGAGGAGAGAAAGACACTGGTTGAATCTTTTATCAAGAAGTATGAAAAGTTTATTCCTTTGCCCCCTAAAGCAATGATCTTGAATGTTTTTTCTTTTCATTGCACCTTATGGTAATTGTTGATTGTTGATTTACAGGCATCAAAGGCTAAACAATGGGAATTTTCCATCACTTAGCCTCACACACAGGGAGGTTGGTGGGTCTTTCTACACAGTTAGGGAGATTGTCAGAGAGATTATCCAAGAAAATAGAGTCCTTGGTACTAGTGACCTGATTCTTGAGAGTAAAGAGCATGACCATTTGCAAGATCAAAATCTGTCAAGTTCTTTACTGATGGATCCTGTGCCCCCTTTATCTTTGTCCCCAAACGGATTCCATCTTTCTTCAGAGGTTGGGGAGACGAAGTCAGGTGAAAATGGGGACAACATTAACGGTAGCCAGGCTGCCTCTGAAGACAGAGAATCTGATGTATTGAAGGAGATGGAAGTAAACATATATCAACTTTCCGGAGAAGACGTAGCGCTGCTCGCACACGAGCCAGTGGACTCTACTGACATATCCAGGACTCAGTTTGCAGGATCTTGCGGTGAAGAGAATGATACCAAGCATGATACAGTGCAGACAGTATGTGACAGTTTTACCTCTAAACCTCAGGACCAGAAAGACAGAGGATTTGAGGTAACACCTTTCATTGAATCAAAAGGCACAAAACCTGTTATAAATGAAGAAAGAGTGAATGATGATGGAGCAGTGATGACCGAAAGGGTGAACATGACTGAGAATACAATAGGCACAGCTGATTTGCCAGCAGAAGCAGTTGTTGTTGAAACATTTCCAATGAGATCTGTGACTTCAATAATGGAGTCATCTGATGTAAAGCCTAGTGAGGTGGCTAGAGTTTGTGAGGATGAGAAAGGAACTGAGGATAGCAGCACCGAAACTTCTGTTGATCTTGGAGAGATTCCTTCAGCCATTTCCACTGTACCTGAAGAACAAGAGCGAGAAGTCATTGGAGGTCAAATGCCAAATCAAGTCTCTGTCGCTAAAGTTGAAGAGGAAACTGTGAATCCTGCTTCTGTAGATGTTGAATCTGCTGATACTAAAGAGACGGTGGTGGCGAATGCTGTGGTTGGCAACATCCATGAGACTAAGGAATTTAGTAATGGAAGTTTGAGAACAGAACGGACAATGCCAACATCTGTCACTGAGGTAAGTTTTGCCAAGTATATGTTTGTTTCTACATTCTATTTGAATCCTTGGAACTTAATCAAGAACGTTGATGATGGAATAGTTAACTTCTTGATTCTTTCTATCTGTTTTTTAAAATAAATACTTAGACTTGTGAGGATTAGGGTGAAACTGCATATATGCAAAGTTGTTAGTTGAAACCTATGCAACCTTTTGGATTGTGTAACAGTCTGGAAGTTTTAAGAACGACATAACTAGGAGTGAAGTCACAAGTGTTGAGAAGACAACCATGGGAAAAGGGAAACACGATGCTTCAGATAGTTCAAGCTCTCAGAAAGGAAACATTGCACCATTAAACAGAATTAAACCGTGAGTTCAACACGCTCCATTGCATTGTGTTTTGTTCTCCAGAGGTTTCACATGCCTTACCCCTTCTGTTATCTTTTTCTGTGCAGTGAATCGTGGAAAGGGAAATCTAATGTGGCAGGACATGAACCAAATCCCCTTGTGGCAGTTCTAAAATCTCTTTTCACAGCCTTTGTGAAGTTTTGGTCCGAGTGATAATATATTGTAGAGATATGCAAGCTGGTTTGAGTATTAGTAGTTTTTGTTAGTGAGAGTTGGCAAGGTTAAGATGAGATATGGTTTGAATTGTGTTGTGCAAGTTTTGTGTTGGATATTATGGGTTGAAACATATGAATGTAGTTTAATCAGAGATGAAAAGTAAAACCCTGCGAATGCTAAAGATCATGGCACAAAGAATTCGAAAGATCATGGCACAAAGAATTCGAAAGATCATGGATTTCATTTCTAAGAACTCAAGGTATTTGTTTATATTGTTTGCTGCATCAGTATTGCACAGAGAATTTGAGCCTAGAATGATTGGTCTGAAACAGGTAACTATTTAAACCGAGCTGTGGTTTGGTTACACACCACACAAGGAGTAATTAGCCGTTTTAAGTATTGGTCATAACTATCATAGTGAAGATAACTTACTGCATTCACTTTCAACTTAGAATAAATACAAAGATTATACTCTAATTGTTTGCATTACAAACTCCTCAAAACAAAAACCATTCCTTTCACGTTTTTTTATGATGCCAAAAGACTCGCCCTCTCTTTCACACTACGCCTTGTTCACCCGAATCTTCTGCCCTTCCAGCAACTGAGTTAAAACACATCAACAATGAGACAAATACATATTCTGCACACACAACAAATGAACATGAAGTCTGTAATGAACCAAATGAGGCGAAACTTACAGAGTTGTTAAGAGCCAAAATGGCAGCTTCAACATCTTCATCAGAAGAAAACGTCACAAACCCAAACCCAGTAGATTTCGAAGTTCCAGGCACTCTTGAAACCTTTGCACTCAAAACTTTCCCTTTCTCAGAAAACAAACTCTCAAGCATCTCTTTAGTAACAGTCTTTGCTAGATTCCCTACATACACTTTGTAAGGACTATCTACAAAAGCTGAATCTTCAGACTGAAGCAGTGACAAATCAGGAGATGATGTTGATAATGCTATAGGCTTCTCAGTAATATTAACCTTCACCTCACGTCCTTCAATGGTCTAACAAAAAACAAACAAAACTTTGGTCAGAACCTAAAGAGATGAGACCTGAAAACTCCCCCCAAAAATCTAATATTTAATCCGGAAACGCGATTTTTAAAACTTTTTAACCTGAATTAACCGAAAATCCGAAACCGAACCAAAAAACCGAATGAGATCCAAAATTCTCTAGGATACAAGTCAGTTCTCAACTTTGTGGTTCTCAACTTTGTTACCTGAACCAAACCGAAATAATTGAACCGAACTTTCTAAATAACAGATCCAAAACCCAAGAACCGGAACCAAGAACCGAATGCTCATGGCTAGATGAGACCATAGAAGAAGGAAGACTCACAGTGCCATTCAACTTCTCAATGACAGCATTGGCATCTTCAACTGATTTCATGGTAGCGAAACCAAACCTACGGCTTCTTCCTGAGTACTTATCATACATCACCTATAAAAACAATCAAAAGCATTAATCTTTAATGATGAAACTAAACTATAAAAAGATGAAGAAGAGGAAACAAGAAACCTGGACTTGTTCAACGGCGCCGTGTTCTTCAACGAGTTTGGTGAGCTGCTCGTTAGTAACTGTTCTTGGTATGTTTCCGATGTAGACACGTCTTGAGGATTCTGCGTTAGGGTCTAAAGCGGGTTTTTCTTCAGTCTCCATCGTTGCGTGAGGGATGAGTCTCTTCCTGGAGATCCGTGGAAGGGAGATGGAGACGGAGATGGGTTTGGTGAGGAGGGAGAGTCCATTGGTTTGAGGATTATTGAAAGTTTGGGGCTGGAATGAGAAGAGTGTAGGTTTGATTGACACAACAGCTGTTAGGAAAGTAGTAGCCATTGTCGGAGAAGGAGATGGTTGGGAGAAGAAGGTGTTGTGTAGTGTTGTGTTGTGTGCTATCAACATTATCCATAAGGCGTTCTCTTACTTGTTTGTCTCCTTGGACAGTTTGGGCCTAGTGGAGCCCTTCAATATTTGGGCTTATTAAAGTAGAAGAATTTATACGCCAGACCAGTTTATGGGCTTACTATTGTCTGTTTTTAATGTCTCCCAGGCCTGTGGAACGGTCCTTGGGTAATATCCTGATGACAGTTTCAGCAGGTTAATCTTAATCGTCATGGGTTTGTGAAACACTTGCTGTATCCACTGTAGAATTAGTGATCTAGAATCAATTATAACCAAGCTGATATTAAACTCAAAAACTACTTTGTAAATGTAGATCAATGGGAATATATATTGTAAAACATCTATAAATTAATATACACTAAATATCTTTTATAAAATAATATAATTTTATAGTTTCAAATTGAGTTTTTGGTTCAATTAGTATATCGATAAATTAATCTCTTCAAATTAATAAATAATTTTTTTTGTTGTATTCCAAACATTATTAATTTATAGACAATATTATTAATTTATAGACGTTCAAAGTATTGACTCCTTATTGCCATTTTTATTGCCACAAGTGGGATTTAACAATATCACAAGTATACATGCAAGGCTAGACTACATGTTCGGTGATGATAACATCACTGTGGACTTCAACTTGATGGTAGAAGAGTCTAGAACCTAGTTATAATCTTTCCCATCATAATGTAGACAGCAAATATATTATGATAGTTAATGGTTGATCGAGTATGTAGTAAAACCAAGAAGCATAGTCCAACTGTGGTTAAATCAAAGCGTAGCGTATGCTTATTAGTAAACTAGAAATCAATGAAACTTCTTTGGGATAAAAATACATCCCCATAAAAGTGAGAAAAGAAAAAGAACAAAAACCAGACATAGCTGGACCGGGGCCTTGCCCTAAATCTTGAAACATAATGAGAAGAGAACCAAAGCTTTGTGGTGACAAAAGTCTTTCTCCTTTTGACAAAACCAACTCCAATACTTAGAATCGAGCAGCACCATTTCATCTAAAAGCTTCCCTACTCTTTTACTTTTTGGCTTTTTGCTTCTTCCTATCCAAAGATGTTAAACCAGCACCTAACCCTGCAGGAGCCGCCACGTTCGTTGTTTTCCCATTTTCAGAGCTTTCTTTCTTCTTCTCTTCTACTTTTGCCGCACCATTCTCCCCACTCTTCTTAGAAGAATCTGCGGTTCCTGGATTGATCAGTTGAGAGATCTGTGGTGGCACTTGAACACCACTTTGGGGACGAACCAGTAGCCCCTTAGCTGCTGCTTTCTTCCTAACTTCAGCTGCAGCACGAGCCGCTCTTTCATCAAAACCTCTGCCCCGTGGTTGAGCCTCTCCGAGAACAGCCGCGTTAGACCTCTCTGCCGCTGCTGCGTTTTGGAACAACTGTACCAGGTCTGGACGTGACTGTAGGATTCCAATCAGGATTAACAACTATTCATTAATATTACATCATCTATAAAGAGTTTTATGATTGTTCAGAAACTAAAGCTACAAGTGAAGATACCTTCAAGAGATCAATAGCCTTTTGCGTGTTGGCCGCATTGGCTGCAAGTCCTTTCTGCTTTTGTGCAGTTTTCTGATGAAAAACCCCAACAAGATATATGAGAAACATATAGAGAATGTATACATAAATAACGAGGTCGTACTATGCACAAACCTGAACCTCACGCATCTCAAAAGTCTTAATCCAGTTTTGAGAGTCTTTTGTCCTGGAATCATCTTCTCCCAATTGTTTGACAAGTATATCATAGGTTTTCTTCTCATGCTGACCAAAATGAAAACAGTTGCTTCAAAAGATGACTCAAACAAAATAGAGGATTCAAAAGACTTGTAGAAGTTGTAATAATACCTGGTGTGAGAGCTTGAATAAGCCCATACTGTTGCACGCAATGGCAAGAGCGTGGTAGCATACTGCAGTCTGGATGTGTTCAGGGCCAAGAAGTCTCTCATTCTTCTTCAAAGCGTCTTGAAGGTAACGCAGAGCTGTGTCCATTTTGCCCATGTCTTGATACATCATGGCAACATTTATAAATGTGGCTGCAACATCTGGATGATCAGGGCCAGATGAAAGGCCAAGTAGTAGCAAGGCACGGCCCATGTTCTGTAGAGCAAGTTCTGTCTGGTTCAGCCCATGGTAGAAAAGAGCCATGTTGCCATAGCTGCAGTGCAGATACACCCACGTTAGTAACATGTATCAAAACAGAGAAAAAAAACAGGAGTGCATTGCAAGAGATTCGACTAATGCATAGTGGGAGAGGAACAACATTCACTTAAACTATATTCAGTAGCAGGAAGTTGATACCTGTGAGCAGTATCAGGATGGTCCAAACCAAGACATCGCTCATTTATGATAAGCTCCTTGTGTTGCTGCATTATGGCCCCAGCCATATCTCCTGCATGGTACAAAACCATGGCTAGGTACCTGTAAAGCAAAGGAAGACAATAACACCATAGATATTATTAGCGTAAATCAAAAACCAAATGGATGATGAATGGAACATCAGCAGTCGAAGGCTTACCTGCAGCAGTTTGAAACCTCCCTATGCATTGGACCAGTCACCTGGAATCAGATGAACATGATCAGCAATTTTAGAGTAAAAATATTTGGAGAGTCTATACAGATGCATACGAAGACCACTTACCTGCTGAAGTATTGCAAACGCCTCTGAAAAGAACGTGTAGGATTCACTCAGCATGCCCTACAAGAGATTAGTCATTTTAATAAGACAAAGAAAACAGTGTGACAGGCGGAAACTAGAACAACTAATTTGAAATAGCCTAGCTACCTCAGCCAGTTGCAGCTTCCCCATCTCGATGAGATTTTTAGCCTCAGAGCATACAGGGACTGAGTGCTTAACAACAGGCCGAAGATCCAATACATCTGACGCATCGAAAGGCGAGGTGGCACCAAAGTCGTATTTGCGAGCAGCAACACTGATGCCAACCTGTTAAGAGAAAGACAAAAACATTTGATAGCAATAAGTAACTGGCGTCGGTAAACAAATTCTGAAGGAACAAGATATGTCTCTCTCTCTTTACCTTTTGGCAAAGGTTGCGGAGAACATGTGTTTTTTTAGCTGTGGTTCTTGACAGCTCGGGCAGCTCAAACTGAAAATAAGCTCAGATTAGCTTTAGGTACTTACGGTAGATAAAACAAACATGTAAATGGCTCAGAAGGGTGACAGCTCTTCAATACACAAACAACAAATTAAGTTTAATTTGGTTGTGATTATTATACCTCATACTTGGCTTTGGCAAATTCCTGAATCTCAGACCAAAGCATGTTGGAATCAACCATCATATACGATGAAAGACTCTTCTTTACAGAAGCTTTACCTTTCCCTTTTCCTTGACTTTTCTTGGTGATCGATTGATCCTGTTCAAATTCAAGGGCCAGTATAGAACCTTATACCAATCAGAAACAATAAGTATGGTTTGTTTTGTGAAGCTTTACAGACTGCTTCAAAGAACTGAAATAGCATAATTCAAGAACAAAGAAGGAATTCTAGATAGACTCTGGTAGTGCACACGAACCTTCTTTTGATTTTTAGCATGCACGTTGTTGGTGCTAGCTTTTCCCCCAGCAACATTTCCGAAGAAACAATTGAGGAAGTGAGAGACTGCTGCGCCAATATCGTGATCCTCAATATCTCTTAGAATGTTCTGCATAACCATGTAATAACTTTAATTAGGGAGCTTGTCCACTTAAACCACAAATATTATTCAATCATGTATATTGTGGTATGAATTTTATAGTCTTTATAACTACCTTGAGAATGTGCTTGGCGGATCTGACGGTAATTTCATTCAGACAAAGGTCCCACAAATGAGGCAAATGCTTCACTCCATTAGCAATCTGGTCATTTACATCCATCGTTAAATAAAGTCAATCATGGCGATACATATTACAAAATAACAATACATATTACAAACTTACTCTTCCGATGTAACGAACATTAACACCATGGGAATGGAGTGCTTCAGTCAAAGTCTGACCATCCATTGGGGAAACTTCAAGAGAGCAAAGATCTACTATGAATTTTGGAAGTACCACATCCACAAGGTATGAGCTAACTTTCTTAACATTTTCTTCATCAGAAGAAATCTCCTGGTTAACCCCAAAAGTTAACATTCAATCAGTTAAACAAACATTTATAAAATATTTTAAAGACAAAAAACCTATAAGCAACATAGCATACCTCTTGTGTGCCACCTAATTTGAAGTCAGTGAAAACATTAGGGTTAAATGATATTTCATCACATAGTTTGGAAAATTCAGACGATGCCGCTGCAGAATCGGCGGTGGCATTTTGCTTTTCTGTAACAGTTTTCTGCAGATAAAACATAGATATCAGCAATTATAGTTTCCTTTAACTGAACTACAGTTTTTCTCAGACATTTCTATCTAGCATTATGAAGCTTGTAGTAGCTAAGTATCTAGTATTATCTACTGATATAAATGTAATTGCTTTCATCATTGTTGGAGAGGCCAACCGACTAGGTATTTTGGCAGTCTGCTTTTTCACTTGACAAACATTCAAGGAGGGACGCACATACCTCAGAAGTTAAAGCTCCGTTTTCCTCTCCATGGTTCGATTCATCACCAGTTTTAGAAGTATCAACACTAACATTAGACGGATCGGAAACAATATCCGTCCCCTCGTCAGTCTTGGTTTTACATTTTGATTTCTCCAGAGCTTCGGCCTGCATTAAGAACATATATTGATCATTACTTGTCATAGAAATACTCAAGGGAATATGTTTCTAAAGAATATTGAATATGTACCTGGCAAAATGATGTGATCAGTTCTGGTCTTAGGACACAAAAGCGTGACTCTGGACCCGTGTAATTGGCATCACGAGGTGTCACTCTCATCAAGTCCAAAAGATAATGCCTGTTATCACTACCAACAATGCCCTTGCACTCTACTGGTGCAGCTAACTTGTAGACATTCTCGGAAGCATCTATAACATCATGTTCCTTTATATGAAGAAGCTTTGCAGCCTCTAGCACCTGAAGAATATATTGTACAAATGGATCAGTACTACAACTATCATATTAAGGCCTACAAAATACATCAATAGAGAGTATATCCATTTACCTTAGCATGAAAATCTTCATTCCAGCAGATTTTCTTGCCATTATCCACTGAACCATACAAAAGCGCATCTGATTTATCCCCTTGAAGGATGCCTGGTAGAACACTCTAGAACATACATGAAAAACATTGCAAGCTATTAAAATATACACAAGCAGGATACACATATAATCTCAATAAAAAGAACTTGGCAGTCTCATTATAAGTACAAACCTGAGCAACAACCCTATGACCTCTGTAATCAATAATGGCCATTGCCAGATTATACAACCCCGGGACATCTGCTTCTTGATATAACTTTGTGCCTTTCAAGTCGTTGTTTGCAGAGGCATAAGTTGCCTGCTCACTTTCAATAAGAGGCGCCTCATTACAGCTGTTAAGCTCTGCATTGTGTTCTCCATCGCATGTTTTGTCTTCGCATGCAGCCTTTTCAGACGAGGACACATTTTCAGTCAATGAAAGATCATTTGATGGACGTTTCTTGGATAGCTGTTCAATGTCGGCGTCAACAGCAAAACTGAAAAAGATATTGTTGTGCACATACCTACAATAGATGAACAATAACAAGTATTCAAAATTGAGACGCTGATGAAATTACAATTATCTAAAATCCAAACGCTCCAAGTCATTTCTCCACGGTTAAGCAAGAAGAGATTATTTCACTGACAAAATTGTATGATAACAATACGAGTTGACAGTAGATAACTAATGATATAGGCCTTAAGATTAACACTGACATGTGCAGGCACTCTGGATCAGTTGGATTAATGGGTGGTATACATCGGCTGATTACACCAATTGCTCCATTAAGCGCTGCATCGACAAAGTCAGAAGACACTTTGTAAAGAGCCCTGTCACGTAAGATCCTGCAACGAAAGAAATTTCTAAAATGAAGCAATCTAGATAAGGGAACGGAACTCCAAAGAAAAAAAAAAATCATGCTACCAAAAAAATCACTGTAGTAAAATGTCACAGGTACCTCTCCTGAGGAGTACTGTGAGGGAACTCCCTGCAAGATTGCAACTCTTCGTTCCAATCTCTTTGCATACCAATCAACTCACTACCATAGGAAATGGTCAGAGCTTCTTCTGCTCTCGCTGCGTCACGCTTGTGATCTGAGCAAGATACAAGAGCCTATGGTTAGATATAATAGCAACGAATGAACTGACTGTTTCTGAAAATGGGGAGAAAAGTCCGATTTGTTTTAAACTTCCAAATACAACGTGAACTTATCTTTCCATATATCAATAGTTGTGAGCAGAGGCGACTTTATATATATAAAGTAGAAAATGATTATGTCGTCCGTAAACAACCAACAATTTAGACAACATACTACCAATTTATGAATTTAGACAACCATAAAATATCAAAATGAATTTCCTAGAAAGAAATATGACTCTCAAGATGCAGTCACAAAGAGACACATACAAGAAAGAGGTTTCAAGGATCCATTAAATATAAGTCAACTAAAAGCAAGGTAAAGCTTTACTTTAAATCATTATTAGTGCTGGGTGTCTTGTTAATATCTCAGAACTATAATCAGTGTTTACAACACGAAATGTGGAGAACGTCCTCTAAAAGAACCAATTGAGCTGGTCTCAAAAGAACAGAGCCAAGCTACTAAAACCAAATTACGTTGCAGCACACAAGAAAATACTGTAATAACAAATGATAGTCAAACTCACCAGGAACAGGAAATGTTCTCAGCCATGAGTGTGGTGGTAAAAGGGACTGAACATTTTCGAAGGGATGTGCAGAGGCTTTCTTTTCCATGACCTCGCGGAAAGCTGAGTAGTCAAAGCAAAAAAAAAAAAAATAATAATAATTAACAAACTGAATGATACTATACAGTCAGCAATTAATAAAATAAAAAAAAATTACATATTCACTGGTACTCACCTTTTTTGAACTTAGAGCTAAGTTTTTGCAACAAGCCGATGAGAGTAGCTGTTTCGAACCCAGATTTACTCGGCTTGGGATCGAGAATATTCCCTGAGCTAGAATTAACGTAAAACGCCTTTGTGGTACCGGTGATGCAGTACTTGTTACCTTCCAGCGTCACAACATCCAAATAGATCAAATCTCCTACAAGCCTGTCACAAACAAGTTCATTAGAAACGGTATGTTAATAGCAGCTGATTTATAACCTATACATATGATAAAAGCAGCTGGTTTATACTTTCTGTGGCTTGGAGGAGGGTTGAACGATGAGAAGACAATGCTCTCCACACACTTGATCTCTTCCAATGGAGAACTTATCAACTTATTGAGAGAGGCTGGTATATCTTCCATGAAGCCAAGACATTCAAGCTCCGGGACATTTGGTTTGTCTGTAAAGAATAACGACAGAATTGAAGAACGACTATTTAAAGCAAAACACTATAAAGAATAAGATTAAAATCTGAAACCTCCAGGATTCTGAGCTTTGTTCGCTGCTGCTGCAGCATCATACTTCAAGGCAAGCGTTGTTGACAAGGAAGAGTGGAGGGTCGAAAGAGAAAGAAGATCTCTAGCTCGGTGAACGTGAGCCCTGATAGACCTATCATCGTACAACGCTGTAGAAAGAAACAGAAAAATACTGTCAATTGCCAACAACTCGTTTCAACATACAACAAACGAAAGAGAGACAATCCTTATCATACCAGGAAGCATCTCTAAGGAGCAACCACCAACGGTGATGTCAGCAACCTCAGAGATCTCATTGTAATCTTCAAGATGGTGAGTCTCCCCATCCTTACTGCGGAGCAACAACTCGTAGCAGGTGTAGTAACACGTCTCTGGAGCATCAAGAAGGAACTGCCTTATATCCATCACCGAGTCTCCAGGGTTCAACTGACAAAAAAAGCCAAATTAGACATATTCAAATATATGAAAAAACAAATGATTACTATGGAAGGAATACATAGAGAACTAACAAAAAAAAAAAGAGAAAAAAAGTCTATGATTTTCTAAGACAGAAGATAGTTTATAAGGTAAAGAAAGAAACTTTGGATTCACTAGAGAAGAATTACATAAAGAACTAACGTAAAGTGGAAAAAATATATGGCTTTATAAGACAGATTATAGTAAAAAAGGTAAAAGAAAGAAACTTTAAACTCACTTGTAGCTCCATTTTACCACCACTCTGTGTCTTGACCGAAACAGGATAAAGACGAAGCTCCCCTATGAAAGCAAAACAAATCATATCAAAAAGATGAATGCAATAAAAGGGAGTGTCTTTGACATTAATAAGTCGGATTATTCCTAGAAAAAAAAGCATAAAGAGCCAACCTTGTGTGGGTTGAGCATCGTCACTTGCTTCTTGCGATTCACTTTCATCAGCCTGAGCAACCTGAGGAGGAACTTCATTGGTTTCAGGCACGGCAGCTTCAACAGCATCAATGACAGCTCCATTATCAGGAGCAGGAGCAGCAGGCGCATCGGGTGAAGGGGGAGAGACAGTGGAGTTGGAGGCAGAGCTCTGAGCCGCTCTCTTGGCTTTCGATTTGTTAGACTTCCCAGCCATTTTCACCTAACAAGAGATTGTGAATTAACAGAACGGATTAAGATTAAGGTTCTAATTAATAAACAATGCAAAAAAAATAAAACAATTGAATTAAAGATTAATCATTTCAATTGATGGAAACAGAGATAAACGAGGAACAGAGTCTTTGTAGATATGAAATCAACGGCCAGATGTAGAAAGATTAAACAGTAATAGAGAAAAGATTGAGGATCTGAGAGTGAGAATTATACCTTGCAAGGCGACGACGGAGAGAGAGAGAGCGGCGGAGTTAGGAAAGAGATGAGGTTTAAGGAGGGTTGAAGTGAAAGAAGAGGCGGCTGATGATTTCCTCTGACTCTCTCTACTAGTAGTACTACTAGGAGACAGACAAGACACACACAAAAACCAAATCACCTTTTTGGGCTTTGGGCCTTTTATGGGCTTTTTTGCGTGGGAAGTAGTGCGTAATTAATTATCAAATCATCATCTGTAGTTAAAGAAATTTAAGATTCCCACATTATAATCACTGACCTAAACATATTTTTGATGACTAGGAAAAACCGGTGTGTGGTTAACGGTAAACACCAAACAGGCCAGCTCAGTTTAAGCATGTGGTCTTTAATAATGCTTAGTCTTATTAATCCTTCGTGTATGTTACAGTCTGTAAAGCTTTTTGACATAAAAGCCTGTAAAGCTTTTGACATTAAAGTCTCTTTTCCACGTGTAATAAATACGAGTATCTTTTGCTTTTTACCTATGTGTATATATATGTACGCTACGCCTAGTCTTTTTTTTTCTGGATACCTTAACCCACCGAAGTTGTCACTAGTTTGGTGTAATGGATACTGCAACAAAAGATTTTTTTTTGGTCAAAAGATTAAAAGCTTTGGAACGAGTAGGAAAAACACGGAGTAACTGTGTGGCTATCTGGTTGTGAGGTAGAAGAGAGGTGTGTAACGGCATGACATGACTTCTTCTCAATATATAGCATCATCTCGTTGCATCATGCCTCATCTTATTAGTATTACTATTTACAAAGTCATGAGAGTTGAGTTAGCACTAGCAATGCTCATGACCATAACGGTTCTTACCATAGTCACAGCACAGCAAGAGGACCAGCAACCACCTCCGCCCATGTTACCGGAGGAAGAAGTGGGAGGATGCAGCAGAACATTCTTCTCATCACTCGTGCAGCTGATACCTTGTAGAGCAGCAGTGGCTCCTTTCAGCCCGATCCCACCAAGTGAGTCGTGTTGCGCTGCCGTTGTCACACTTGGTCGCCCTTGCCTTTGCCTCCTCGCCAATGGACCTCCACTCTCAGGCATTGACCGCTCCATGGCTCTTCAACTTCCTCAGAGATGCTCTGCTAATTTCCCTCCATGCGATGTCATTCACTAGGACTCTAGAACCGAACTATCATTTTCTTTTTTTTTTAATTACCTTTCACTCTAATAAATACACTGTTCTGTCATTAATAAAGATATGTGAATCCAATAGAAATCTCAGTCATTTTCAATAATAGATACACATTATCCAACTGATAGAGCCTTGTTTGCACTCTGAAATCTTCTTATAGAGGGAAGAAAACAATCCAATCCATACGAACACTTGAAATATTATTATTAATAGAAAAGCAAACATCATCTGGGGCTGTGTGGGGTGAGCGATACCTCGTGACTTCATGCAGCACGTTGATAGATTCTTAGTAATAAGCCTTCCGGGGATTTCCCTTTAGAATAATTAAGACAAAAGTTGAGTAAAGAAGTGATATAACAAAAAAATGGAGCTAAGAGATTGGCGAAAGTACCAGTGGATTGGGTCTGTGTTTGTAACCGAGCATCATTCGCTTCTTGTACTGCTCGTATATATCATCCTCAGGGTTAACCTCTCCTGGTGCAGAAGCCCCAACTCCGAGGTTGTTAGTCTTTACATCGCCTGCCATTAAAGGGTCTGCCATACCCTTTCTGGAGCTTCCTATACCTTCACCTGTAACCCACTCCTCCAATTTTGTAAGCTTCATGTCTCCACAAAGGCACAAGATACAGAAAGAAACAAGATCACAAATTTACAGATAGAGCGAAGCAAGTAAGCACCTTCTTTCCAGCCCATTTTTGATAAGAGCTTATGTCCGACATTATCTGCTTGGATCTTAGCCTTCTCAGCGGCCTCCTTTGTGGCTTTTTGTGCAGCCACATCGTCACACTTTGCAAGGAACTTATTTAGCTCCTCTGGTGGAATATAATCACCCATATGATGACCTCTCTGACCAGGGTCTGTGGAGGGAGTTGCTGAAATAAGACATGACTGCGTGATAAGACATCACAGCTGCCTCAAACAAGAAACAGAAATAGGATTCATTCTCACCAGATGGGCCTTGAAGAGAAGCTGGCGGGGGCATCTCGTCATTTGACTGCCTAGGACGTCTCATCTTCTCTTCTTGGGCAGCCTTCTTCATGTAAAACTCCATCATTGAAACAGGGTCTGCAGCCCTAGGCGCACCATAGGGGTCGCCTGCAACGTAGACACATGTACCCCATAGTCAGACCTAGATGCCAATTATAAGAGGGAGTCTAAGCAAAAAAAGCTAGCTGACGTACTACTTGATGCCTGAGCAGATCTAGAGTAAAATTTGGATTCCTCAGGAGCATCATAGAGAGCTGAAGCAGGGATGTGATAGCCTCTTTGTTGTTGAGCTGGCTTTTGCGAAGTGATTGCTGTTGTGGACTTCCGTAGACCAGCCTCACCTGGAAAGATAACACGCAGGAAACTGGCGTTAAGTATACACCAAGATATGGTAGGCGAAAACCGGCATCACATTACACCACATACTATACAGAACGTATATATATTCTAGAAATTGTTCGGAGACAATAAAATAGATGAGATATATATTTCTTGCATATACTTAACTAAACATGTTCTGAATTGAATAATAAAGTAAAGAAAACCATTTGCATGAGTTTTGGTCTATATATAAACACAAAGGTGGTGTAACACGTACCACTGTGAAGTACACCAGATTCCTTAGTTTGTGAAATAGCCTTTTCCTCTTCGGAAAGCCTGAATAGATAGTACTTGTAGTCCGCACAGCTCTCGTCAAAAAGAAATCTGTTGGGAATAAGAATACAAGATATATAAGGTCATGAACACCACAATACGAACTTAGTATATGGGTACAATAAAAAGAGAATCCAGAAAACATACTTAAATGGTGTGTCCCCAGGATTCTTTTGCCGAGCAGTATGCTCAAATGACCTTCCACTCTTAGCAACAAAGCTTGCTAGTTTATCAGCAGCATTCTTCACAGTAGGATCACTGGGCGAAGGAGGTGCTGCACATCACTTATAAAACTGATTAATACGGAGTCCGTGAACAACGAATGCAAATCACTCTTGTAGCAGGCGTGGCAGATATTCCAAATCTTTCCAGCAACTGGACTGTTGATTAAGTAAGACACTGCATTTAGGTAGAAACTTTAATTTCCAGACTGTTTTACTGCTCCATTCCAGAGAAAAACAAAGATTCCTCGATAACGATATACACTAATAGGAAGCTGGGACTCTTGACATCTTAGGACTAATAGGTCTTCCTAATTCCAGATAAGACACATATTCACTAACGAACGAACTCTTAACTCTTGACATCATATGACATACTTAACCCTCTAGGACCACGTAGTATATAGAATAGAAAACCTCTTACGATTAGACAAGTAGAACCATCATAGAGACTTTCAAAAAAGACCCACCCAAACAGAGATAATTATGTTCAAAACAGCCATTACCAACAACATCTGATAGTTTCGTTGACTTTACACGAATGTCACCCTGCTCAAACTTTTGACGCTTAGAAGATCCAAAGCCTTGACCCTTTTCCGCATCCCCTTCATCCTCTTCTTCACCAAGCAATACAGGAGGTGGAAGAAGCTTAGACTTTTGTTTCAAGCTGAAAGCAAGCTTACCACTTTTCTTTTGGGCATCACTGGTCCTAAACCCAATGGAACTTTTATTAACAGAAGAAGGCTTGGGATTTGAAACCCCTGATATAATCTCCACAGGCTTTTTGGATTCCTCAACATGGACAACTTTATCCTTGTCTACTTTATCTTTCTCCTGTTGAAGCTGTCTGAATCTTTCCATGAAAGACCCATCATTCACAAAGATGCTAGGAGGAGGAGGAGGAGGTCCTTTCTCCATTGCAAAACGAGGAAAGTGTGCAAGAGTTTATATGGGAGTCACTGTTTTGACAAATAAAGCTCTCACACGATTTAGAAAAACCAACAAAGTAACGTATAATTGTGATAGGATTCAATTAAAGCAAGGCGGATTATCGTCATCGAAAGAAGAATCATATCTCTATCAAACGCCCTAAAGATGAATGCAATGAGTGGTGGAAAAAACAATCTAGAAATCTCAAAAATCAAGCCTCGTAATTTGCAGGTGAGCAGGAAAATCTATGTTAAATCGAGTATGATTGATACAGATCCAGGGACAATTGATTGATTCAGCGAAAAAATAAACGTAGCGGTATCGTCACCTGTGCTGATTTTTCCGATCAAACGTCGCCGGAACAGGAGGCTAGCGATTGAATTGGAATCAGAGAGTCAATTTATCGTGCGTCATATATATAGTCCCTATTTGTTTTTCTGTTTTCAAATGGATACCTAATATTTCTTATAATTATTCTCAGGTCCCAAAAGATTAAAAGTTACCTTTCCCCCCCCCTCTCCCCACGTGTTTTCTATTGAAACCAAAAAATTAACCGATGAAACGTTTTTAGATACGCCCCAGTAACATAGAGAAGAATTGTGATGGGTTTTGAATGCTCTTTTGTTTATCACCGAGCCAAGAAGACAGTGAAAATCGAACTCAGCCCCACGTCCGAGCCAACAAGCAAATAAATATCATAGTAGAGACATACTAAGGCCATATCTCAGAGTTGTGATATGAGTTGAAGAGATTGGCCATAAGGATAACTGACAGAGAAAGGAAAGAAAGCCATTGCGCTAATTAAGCAAAGATAAGTTCCAAGAATTTTCAGAAAACCGAACAGTTTCTTTGAAGGCCTTGAAGAAAGACCAAACCTACGCTATGTTTGAAACCGGCACATAAACACAACCCTTCAAGACACACTCTTATACTCAAATCCATAAACAGATTGAAGAATTGCACTCGTCCAACAAACAAAAGCATAACAAAACGAAAGGAGACAGCTTTGCTAAAACAAACAACACTCAGTGAGAGGTAAGTAGCATTCTCTCCCTCCTCTCTACACAACCGGCTGCTGAGATTCCAAGGGAATGCCAAGGTCGTTGCCACCACCAGCAGCAGCTTCCACTTTACTGCCGCTCCTCGGAACAACAGGGAGAGCCACGAAAGATTTAGTCTTGCTAATGGGTCTGCTCTTCTCCAGCTTCACCACATCTCCCACCTTGAACTGGTTATCCGGGTCATGCGCCTGGTACTTCTTCTTCATCCTCACTCTCCTCTTGTACTTCGGGTGTGGAGCCAGCCTCACCACCTCCACCGCCACCGTCTTGTCGTTCGTTGCGCACACCACGCGCCCCTGCATCGTTTTCATCGCTCTGATGACCGGAACCGAACCGGAGCTTGCAGGTTTCGTGAACGAATTGGGCTTTGAGAGAGTAGACAGCGGAGTCGAGCCATGGGCGAAGGGAGACCAAAGATTCAGAGCTTGTGTTAGGGACGCCATTTGGAAGACGATAAGGAGAGAGCTATAGATAAGATAGGGATATATATGTATATTGATTTTATTATATGGGCCAAGTCCAAGGCCCATCTAAACAAATGAGCTTTTTGTTTGACAAAAACATAATCATATCACATTTCGGATTCAAACCCGATGTTCCAAAACCCTTCAGGAGTCATAGGAGGAGCGTACTTGTAACGATGCCTTGACACACCTTCATGATGCTCACATCTCAAGCTTTTACCACCATTCCCTTCGTTCTCAGGATGAACAGCGTCATAGAATTTCTTGCACTGCTTACACTCTATCCCTTTCAGATTCTCTCTCTCTGCTTTCTTCCTCACTGACTCCACATGCTTGAAACTTTTTTTACTCGTTTCCGCCACTTGGATTCTCTGCCTCGAGGGACTCGGTTTGGGGTTCATGTCCTGTGTCTCCTCGTCTGAATCAGCAGCAACAAGGGGGACATGTTTTTCTTCCACAGCGACTCTTTTGATGTTCTCGATGGGAGTGTCTAGAAAATCATCGTGAGGGTCTTTGCCTCCAGGGGATTGGCGTGACCTTGTGTCTCTCCAAATGGAAGCTAGACGCTTTGATCCGCTAAGTTGTATAGATTTTGCACAAGAAGGGTCACTTCTTATACCAGGTGACCGAGTATTGGGTGAAATGGAAGTAGTAGGTGTCCGCAACGTATTGGTTATACTTTCTTTCTCATTGTTGATCCTCGAGCCAGTACCAATCCTCACGTTGTCTGCTTCTGGCTGTTTCCTCTCAGGAGCTGTAAAATAAGAAGAAGAGAAAATCAATCTGAATGAGTTTACTAATTCCAACAAGAAAACCTGCAGCTGAAGCATATGACTCACTATAGCAAGTAATTTAACACTTATGCTTACACTTTGAGATGGTTGGTGTCTCATGTTGTCCCTTTTGGTAACTCTCATTCTCAAGTTGGCTTTGTTGAAGATCACTATCAGTAGTAAGCCCGAACCTTTTGCGGAGATAGTTATATTGGGACTTCAGCTTTTTGTAAGCACTGATCACTTCATTTCTTTTCTTTGTCTCCGCAGCTAACTCTACTGATTTCTCCTTACTCTGGCAGCGTAAAGCTTCTAACTCAGCCAAGTAGCTTCTATCTTTGACCTGCATATTCATACCACCAAGTTCTTCCCCTAAGGCCATTGCTTTCCCTATAGCCACTGTCTTTTCCTTCTCATGATCTGCAATCTTCTGTTTACACTCCAACATGCCTTTCTCTGTCAAGTTGAGTTTATCCTGCAAAACCTCGAGCTCGTCAGTCTTCTGCCTTAACATCTCCTCTAGTCTACCTACATTCTCCTCAAACACCTGCAACCTAGTTGTCAATCTCTGTTTCTGGTCCTCGCAGTCGCTTAACTTCCTCTCGTTATCTGCAGCTTCCGTAGACAGATGCTCCACCTTCTTCAACAGATTCTCCGTAACCAATGTTTTCTTAGAAAGTCCCTCTTTAAGACTCTTCACTTCAGAAAGCAGCATCTTCACCTCATCTTGGCTTAACACATCCGAACCCTTAACCTGTAACACCTTAACCAACCCGGTATGCAGCTCTATACAGTTCTCAAATTCCTCAGACCTACTCTTCCACTTCCTTTTCAAATAAGCAATGTAGTCTTCAAGTCTCTTCAACCTCACAGGCATAGAAACAAGCTTATCATTTTCCTCAGATAGCCTCTCCTTCTCCTTAATCTCAGACTTAATCTCTTCCAAGCTCCTTAACTTCCTCTCTCTCTCAGCAACTTCCGCAGACAGCTCCTCAACCTTCTTCAACAGATTCTCCGTCACCAAACTCTTCTTAGAAACCTCCTCTTCCAAAAACTCCTCCTTTCTCTTAACCCTCTCCACTTCCGAAAGCAACCGTTTCACCTCATCTTCACTAACCACATCCGAACCCTTAACCTCCAACACCTTCACCAACCCACTATACAACTCCACACTGTTCTCAAATCCACTCTTCCTCAAAGGCATAAAAACAAGTTCTTCAGATAACTTCTCCTTCTCCTTAACCAAACCAAGATTCTCCACCTTAAGCTCTTCAATCTGTGACAACAGATCCTTCTCCCTCTCTTTCCAAGCCTCACAAGCAGCGAGACGAGCGTCTGAGTAAACCTTTTCAAAGGCTTTGGATTTGGATTGGAAGTTTGGGAACAGCTGGCTACAGAAAATGTACTCGATCTGTGAGATTCTGTCTTTGGCTTCTTGGATGGTTGCGACCATGACGGCGCTGAGGCCGGAGATGTATTTGGCTTCGATGGTATCCACCGTTTCGTCTCCCATCTTTTGTAACTAGTAAGCGCAAAATGGATCAATAGAGAAATTAGGGTTTCTGATACTCAATTCAATTCAACGGTTATATTCTATGAATCAAGTTTTGAGATCCACAATTGAAAATGGATCAGTAGAGAAATTAGGGTTTCGGATAATCAATTTCAACTGTTAATTCAGATTTAGTTTTGAGATCTACGATAACGTTGGGGAAGAGGAATGAATGTAAACTTACATGATTGGTGATGGAGATCCGATGATGGAGATCGAAGAAAGTTGAGTTGATTTGAGAAGATTATAATAGAGAGATGAGTGAATTGGGATTATAAGTAGCTTTTAGATTTTCGCAGTGTTCTTCTTTTCCCTCTATAATTTCGGAATTTTCGCGCGCCGGGTTTCATTTTATAAATTCAAGAAACTTACCCAAGAAGCTTGCTGGAAGACCCGACCCGGTCATAAGTTGGGCCATAAAAAATAGTATCTTTTTTTTTATCAATTTGATCAAAGAGAAAGATGTCCATGGAAGAATTTGATGGCAAAGTATTTTATCGGGGTCATGTAACCGGTTCTGCTCCAGCACTTCCATGTACATCTTTTCGTCTCTCTTTGATCAAATTGATAAAAAAAATGAAAAGTACTATTTTCATTGTTCTATTTAGGTTTTGGCGTTCGGGTCGGGTTTTTCGAATTTCGATTCTTTTTTATACCACTTCATAGGTTCATTCTAGTAAATTTGTAATTACGGATCGGATTCAGGTCAATTTTATATCAAATCATAGAACCCATAAAGTAACCATATATCATTCGGGTTCTGATTATATCAGATCAGTTCAATTATACCCAAAGTAAAAATCTAAAATTTGAAAGAAAAACATAAGAAATGTATATTTATTTATATATAATTAAGTATTTAAGATACTTATTTAAATTTTAAATACTTATTGTTCGATACCATATCAAAATAAATATGAAATTTAATATTTGAAGTATATATTTATGTTTCATATAATTGTATTGTATATTAGTTTGGATATTTATATCGGTTTCTTTGGATATATTTTTGGGTTTTTTGGTTTATTGTTTTTTTTGTGTTACCTATTCCGGTTCGGTTAATAACAATTCGGGTTCGGATATGCAGGCCTGGCTCAGTACTTTGTATTGCCTAAAGCAAAATAAATATTTGGCTTCCCTTACCAGTCGAACCTTGCACACCTTGCACCTGTAACCAACTTCGTATATCAGAACCACTAAACTACACACGACTTTTATCAATGATAATGTCCTTAAATTCTTAACCTTAATTTGGCGTCTAAAGCACCTGTTTTCTCAGCTTTAAGTCAGGACCGGCCCTGCGGTTATGTTTCATACCACTTTACAAAATTCATTCGGTATTTTTATATTTTGGACCGGGTTCGAATCGGATTTTTCGGTTTGGATTCGGTTTGGATTTCGGATTACGGATTTCATGCCCAGACCTAGTTCTAGTGATCAACCCAATTTGATCCGAAGATTGGGTGATCCAAAATTTATGTAATACCAAAAAAAGGTCTTTTCGAAAAAGACTAAATTTGTTGAACTTATAAGCCGACCAACGAGTTACAAAAATGTAATCTAGTCAAAGCATTGGTCTGTTTACAAAAAAAATTTGGACAAAGAGTGTTGGGTGGATAAAACCGACCAAACCGTTTACATAAAGTTTATGAAACCCATGGATGGATATATAAAACAAACAAATGCTAATATAAAGTTTTTCATTCAATGACGGTAAGTCTCAAAACTTGACTACAAAGTCGCATTCATTTTGTTTAGGTGTATGCTTTCGTGATTTTTCAATTTTTGAATTTGTGTTGTTATGTGCAGAAACAAAAACAAAAAAAAGAATTGATGTTGTTATGTTGGTATCTGAGAACCAACGATAACCAGGAAAATCGTAGAGCTTAAAACTTATACTGATTGGGCCTCGTATAAATAATGGTCCTACATTTTAAATGCAGGAAGAGGACCGTCCGATGGAAATACTTGAGGATGAATTCAAATCGTGTGCTCGCGGATCGTGGAAAATAAGGACCGTCAGATTAAACATATATCCGTTATAGATTTAAAGATCCAATGATACATACATAAAAGCACACCTGAGGAAATATCTCCACTTTCTTTTTAAGGTTTTCTCCCAAAAGTTCTTCGACGGCGACTCTTCAAATTGTGAGTTTTTTCTCTTCTGAGTTTCTAGATCGGTAATTTTTTTTTCTTCCGTTCTTAATCTTGAAACTGAATCAATCAATTGAGTTTCTTACTGTTCTTTGTGATTTCATTCTAGGGTTTCGAATCCTAGATCTTTCAATTCGTTTTTTTTATTTAGGGTTTGATGCGATCGATTAGGTTTCGTCGTCTCCTTTGTGAATTTTTTTTAGGGTTTCAAATCCTCTTCACGTCTCTAGATCGTGAATCTGTTTAATTTTGTTTCTAGGGTCTGCCTGATCGTTTGTTTTTTTTTCTCTCTTTGCGATTTCGTTTCAGGGTTTCAAGTTTCCATTAATGGTATATTATTATTTTGGTGTTTTTTTTTGTAGTGATCTAGAATCAACTTGGAAGCGCCTTCACTCCCACAAGAATCCATCGTTGAGGTATTTCTCTGTCGATAACAGATTATATTTGTTCTTTTATCTTTTATATTTGTCATGAACAATATTTGATTTAGATGTGATCTCGTGATATTGGTTTTCGAGTTAGGCCACTTGATGTTACTTAGTTAAGACATCAAAAGCGAACAGAGTAGATAGATTAATATATACCATTATTGATTGCTTATTAGTTAACACGGGAATGGTATGCTAAAACATTTTTTTGTTTTTTAGTTCTAAGATAGTAAGATTATACTATTTTCCCTGTTCATATAATAAAGTCTCTTACTTTATACGTCTTTGCTTTCCTCTTTTTTAACAGTGTATTTGCGTGGAGAGAGCTATTGTTCACATGTTCCATTACATCCCTAACTCTGAACAGAGTCACCGAAACAGTTGTTGAAGTAAGTTCCATCTCCCTATCTACTATCGCTGGAAATCATTTTTTTTTTCAAACCCAAGATATTAGGTAGAGACTCTTGTGCTCTACCGGTTCTTGCATTTGTTTTAGTTTTATCAAAACCCCAAAAAGATCCTAGAGTAGACACTAATCTAATAGTGTTCTGCTAGATTCTTATTTGGGGGACATTGTCCCATCGGTTAATGGTAGTGCATGTCTTTGGGGATGGAACTTTAGTACCCACGGCTTTTACAAAAATGACCAACGGCTTTAAAAAGATTCATCAAGACAAAGACTGTAAATTTGTTGGATGGTTTAACGACCAACTGTTTACGATAAAGTCTCTAAGAAAAGGTTACAGATATGTTGGATTATGATGGATAAAACGATCAACAATGTACAAAAGGGTATTTAGACAATGGGCTATGAGATTGTTGGATGAAAAAAGGCGATTAAGAGCTTAAAAAAGGTCTTTGAGGCAATGATTGTGATACCACCCACGGCTTATAAAAAAAATCATAAGACAATGACTGAATTGGTCTTATTTGGGGGTATTGTCCCGTTGGTTGGTAGTGCATGCGATGTTCGGGATGGAAGTTTAGTACTCACGGCTTATTACGAAAATGACCAATGGCTTATTAAAGACTGTATATTTGTTGGATGGATTAAACGACCAACGATTTACTTTTTAAAGTCTTTAAACAAAGGCAATGACAGTTGGATGGATAAAACGACCAACAATGAACAACCTGTCTTTAGACAAAGGCTCTGAGATTGTTGGAAGGAAAAAGAGCTTTAAAAAAAAAGTCGTTGAGCAAATGATACCCACAGCTTAGAAAAGGTCATAATACAATGATTGAATTGATCCTTATTTGGGGACATTGTCCCTCCGGTTGGTAGTGCATGTCTAACTAAACGATGTTTGGGGATGGAAGTAAGACAGATTTTAGTACCCACGGCTTACTAGAAAAATACCAAATTTGTTGGATGGATAAAACTGACCAAAACTTACAAAAGTCTTAATACAGACAAATAATATGGCTTTGTTGGATGGATCATAAAAGATCAATGGCGCTTACAGTATGTTGGATGGATAAAGAGACCACGGTTTACAAGAACGTCTTCAGACTAAGATTGAGATTAGTTGGAAGAGGGAAAAGCGATCTTTGAGGCAATGAATCTGCAACGATGGATAAAACGACCAACATCTTAGAAAATGTCTTTTTAGACAATGGCTACCTATGGCTTGTGAAATCAAGCGCTTAAAAAAAGGTCTTTCATAACGGAATCAGTACCCACGGCTTAGGACGATTCATTGCAAAAAAATATTGGTATGAGAAAATGTCTTTAGACAATGGCTACCTAAGGCCTGAAAAAAGGCTCAAGATAAAACTCTGAATTGGTTTGATTCTTGTTGGATGGAAATAACTACCCACGGCTTAAGGGAAATACATTACAAAATATTGATACCCACGGCTTATGAAAAGTCTTTAGACAAAGACTGTAAATTGAAAAGCATTTCATTGCTTACTACCTACTGGTTTATGAAGAGCCTTTAGACAAACACTTATACCCCACGGCTTCATGAAAAGTCTTTAACAAACAAAGGCTAATATAAAGTCTTTCATGCAACGACTGTTAAGTCTCACGACAAAAGTCTTACCGCAAAAACTATAAAAGGAAAAGGCTCTTTACGTTACTACTACCTCTGGTTTATGAAGTCTTTAGGAAATGATTCTGAATTGTACAGATTCATGCTCAGTTTATAAAGAATCTATATGCAGAGTATCTAAAGAGGCTGTGAATACCCACAACTTAAGTTGCGTGTTGGAAGGGAACAAACTACACACGGCTCTGAAAGGTCTTAGACAAAGACTATGGTTCAGTTATCTGAGTTATTCTGCAGTAGAGACACCAGCGGTTAAAGAAGTCTTGAGACAGAGTCAGAGACTAATTATTTACATTACCACAAGGCTTGAAAATCGTTATAGAAATAAAAGACCAACGCCTGAAAAGAGTTTAAGACAAAACCATCAAAACATGCTTTGTAATTCACAACAAGCCTTGGCAAAGTATTTAGACAAAGACTAGGACGCCTGGCTTGTTGGACAAGAAATATGACCAACGGTTTAGGCAAGTCTTTAATACAAAGACTATGAACCAAGTCGATTATTGGTTTGTTGGATGCTTAAAACGACCAACAACACCAAGTTTTGAAGATAGACACTCTGAACCAAAGAAACTGAGTTGGTGTTTGGCGAGTTGGATGGTAAAAACAACTAATGGCAAACCAAGTCTTAAAGACATAAACTACGAACCTAAAACTTGAGTCAATTCTTGACTTGTTCGATGATAAAAACGACGAACAAGCTTAAACCAGGTCTTAAGTCAGAGACTATGAACCGAAAATTGATTTCTCACTTCACTACTTATGAGTTAGACAAAGGCTATGAGATTGTTGGAATGAAAAAAAAAACGAGCAAGGGCTTAAAAAAAGGTCTTTGAGGCAGTGATTCTGATACCCACGGCTTAGAAAAATTCATAAGGTAATGACTGAATTGGTCTTAGTTAAGAACATTGTCTCGTCGGTTGGTAGTGCATGCTCTAATTAAACGATGTTTGGGGATGGAAGGTAAGACATCGTTTAAAACCCACGGCTTACAAAAGAAACATTGAATTCGTTGGATGGATAAAAAGACCAACAACTCACAAAAGTATATGTATTTGTTGGATGTATAAAAGGACCACAAGACTTGACAAAGACTGAATCTGTTGGATGGCTAAAACGACCAAACGGTTTACAATACGTTTTCAGACAAAGACTGAGATTGTTGGAAGGGAAAAGAGATCAAGGGGTTACAAAAGGTCTTTGAGGCTATTAATCTGTTGGATATATGAATAAAACGACCAACATCTTTGATAATGTCTTAAGACAAAGGCTATGAGATCATTATAATGAGAAAGCTATCACAGCACTTCAAAAAATTTTAAGATAAAACTCTGAATTGGTTTTGAACTTGTTGGATTGAAATAACCACTCACGGCTTAGGAAGATTCATTGCAAAATATTGCAACCCACAGCTTATGAAAAGCCTATAGACAAAGACTGTAAATTGAAAAGCATTTCATTGCTTAGTGCTTACCTACTGGTTTTATGAAGAGACAAACACTTACCCACGGCTTCATGAAAAGTCTTTAACAAAGAGTCAAAGACTGTTAATCAAAACAGATTCATTGATTTACTACGCATAGCTGTAAGAAATCTCTTTAGGCAAATTGATACATACGGGCTGAGAAATATCTTTAAACAAGGAGTCGTTAAACAAGCAAAAGGCTAAAGCTCTGAATCTGTTGGATGGATAAAACGTTCTACAGAAAATATTTAGACAAAGGCTATGAAATTATTGGAAGGAAAAAAATGATTAAGAGCTTTAAGAATGTCTTTAAGGCAACAACTGTGATAATGAATTCATTATATCTCACTAACACACGGCTTAGAACCTGTTGGATTCAAATAACGACCACAACTTGAGAAGACTAAATGAAAAGACTATGAACTTCAAAAGACTATGAATTTGTTGAGCTTATGAAGTCTTTAGACAATGACTTTTGAATTCTTTAGATAATTGACTTTTGAATTGCAAACAATGCTTAATTGCTCACAGCTTATGAAGAGTCTATATGAAGAGTATAGAAAGAGACTGTGAATACCCACAGCTTATTGAAAAAAGTTGTGTGTTGGAAGGGAACAAACTACCCACGAATTTGAAAGGTCCTAGACAAAGACTGTCTCAGTTTTCTAAATTATTCTGCAGTAAAGACGACCAGCGATTAAAGAAGTCTTGAGACAGAGACTAATTATTTACATTACCACAAGGTTTGAATATCATTAGAAAAAAAAAGACCAATGAGAAGGAGTTTTAAGACTAAAGAGTAAGACTATTAAAACATGCTCCTTACTACACAACAAGCCTTTGCAAAGTATTTAGACAAAGACTACGCCTAGGTTGTTGGACAAGAAAAACGACGAATGTTTTAGACAAGTCTTTGTGACAAGTCGATTTTTGGTTTGATTGGATAGTAAAAACAACCAATGGCAAATCAAGTCCTAAGACATACAATGCGAACCAAAAAATTAGTCGGTTCTTGACTTGTTGGATGATAAAAACGACCAACAGTTTAGACCAGGTCTTAAGTCAGGTACTATGAGACAAAATTGATTCCTGACTTTACTACTTATGTGTTAGAAAATTCGTGTAGCTATGAGAAACGGCTTGGAAAAGTCTTTACTATTGGGTAGGTTTTGGACAGAAAAAAATTAATCAATCTCTTAAAGAAAGTATTATGAAAAAACACTCAATCTATAACATATTCCTTACTTTACCACTTACATCCTAAAAAAAGTTCCAAGATAAGTATGAGTCATTTTGGGGGAACTAAAGTCTTATAAATTGTGATTTCCTCAGGTTTTATGTGCTTCCTAATTCAAAGGAGATTTCAAGGGTAGCAGATTATTTGACAGGTATGTGCTTTTCAAACTTGTTTGTTATTTAGTTAATACAATTATGAAAATCATAAGAATTTGACACAGACCTGAAGTAAAGGCTACTATAGTTTCGTCTGTATAGGTATGTGCTTCATATCCTCAGTAATGTCCAGGATTTTCAGGTATATTCTTTCTTTACTTTCTCTCTTATAAATTGGTATCATTACATTATTATATTTGCAAACTAAGTTAAGTGATATATATATATATGTAAAGGTAATGAGACTGGAAATGAAGATCTTAGCTCCGTTTATAACTAAAAATATTTTCTTAAGCTGTCTTGAGAACATTTCTCTCATTGATATACAATCCTTGAGGTTCTAGAAACTGATTGCTAACATAACCATTGATAAACAAGTAGATTCTTTTTACTATTGGAACAGTTATATTATGCGTTTACAGTGTTTTGTAATCTCTATCTGTCTATCATCTTTAGTTTGGTTCTTGAATATATTATAATATTTTTTTTTTTATGAAATGGATGTATCTTGGAGTCTCTTGTAGGTGAAAGACTCCTTGCAGATTTGTGGTAATAGTTTCTTTGAACTTTTAATGTTTCTGATGTGTGTCATGCTCCTAACCCTCCTTACTCATTATAAACAGTGTTAAAATCTCTGTAGTTTGGTGCTTGTATGTATCATAAAGTCTCTTATTTTATGAAAATCAGTTTGTCTTGGAGTCTCTGGTAGATCAACGTAGTAGGTGAGAGTCTTTATCATGTTGTTGTAGTAGGTATTTTTATTCTGGTGAATGTTTCTGTTTTGTGTTATGCTCTTTATACTCGGTGATCATTTAAATTTTAAACGGTATTGTTTGGTGCTTGTGTGTGTTAAAGTTAATTAGATTTATAGTGAAAATAAAGGTAGAAAATGCTGCTTATATTAATATTGTGATATCTCAAGCTTCTCTTGATTAGATAGCATGGATATGTAGAGGAGGAAATCAGTTTTCTTATTAGAGAAACACATAGATGTATCATATGCTACCCAATTTTTCTTTTTTTGTGTCATAATGTTTTTATTTAAAATGGTCAAAACTAGGTGGTTTAAACGGGTAAATTATTTCCGGGTTATGGGGAAAGTTTATACTCTTTGGGTAAAATTACAACAAAATAAACAAAATAGAAGATTGGGTAGCTTATAATCCATCTATGTGTTCCTGGAACTGCCTCTTAAAACACCTAAATTCAACCACTCTAACTCTAGGTGAAAGCATTAATACACAAATAAAAATGTTGAAGCAATTATGGGTTAATGTGGTACGTTCCTCCATAACATTGACGGGACCGATTTATTTCTATTGGGCCAATACGGGGCCATACAATTGTTATAGTTTTGGATTTTATTTTTATTTTAGTGTTAAGAAAACGAAGAGATAGAGAGAGGTGTAAAATATTAAAGCTGCAACGGTAACCAGAGAAAGCCACGTGCTGTGCACATCAACCGCATATCTGGCTGATGTAACGTTAATTCCAACGGTTACATTCCTTCTTCTCCTTCCCTTTTTTCTCTCTAACCAACAAACACCACACTCTCTCTGTATATCCTCTTCTCTCTAATGGAGCCTGCTCAGATTGACTGGAACCGAATAGATTCTCGTTTTGTTGAAGACGTCTTCTACGAAAACCTCCGAGCTCCCAAATGGTTCGACTTCTTGTCCCCTAACAACCATTTACAAGAAGACTCCATTGATGACGACGACGCTTGGTTCTGCAAACCTGGTAACCTTAAAAATCCCTCTCTCTCTCCCTTCTGCATCTCTTCTTTACAGATCTTTGGGTTTGCTTTTGATTCAAGATTGTAATCATCCCAAGAGACCTGAGGACTTCCTCTTAACGCCCAACTCTTCCAAGGTTTGCTTCTCCTTCTTGATTTCCTTACAAAGATTCGAACCAGAACTGAAAAACTACTGTTTCTTGTCTTGAAAGTTGAAACAGACTCCAGGAGTTACAGAACAGAATCAGAGGTATCTTGAAAGATTGTTTTTCTTGAAAACCTTTTGAATGTGTTTTTAGTCATACTCTTATTACTATTATTTTCTTGTAGGAGAAGAGGAGATAGTGAAAATCATGATCCAAACTTAGTAGCAACGCCTTCTTCAAGCCAACAAGCAAATAAATCATGGCGAGGAGTACTAAAATCAACTTCGGTTAAGAAGATGAGTAAAGAGACACCAAAACTAAAGAGCACACAATCCGCTAGGAATCTGTTTCCAGGGAGAGACGTATTTGGACATATCTCTGAGTTGTGCTATGAGTTGAAGAGATTTGCCACAAGGGTAGTAACTGAGAGAGAAGATGCTACTGTGAAGTCTCAAGTGAAGGAGACTCATCATCAAGTTCATGAGTTGGAATTGAAAAAGGAAAGAAAGCCATTGCTTGAAGTAAGCAAAGACAAAGAGAAGGTTCATGAATCAACGGATAATAAAGGAAACACATTTAAAGAGATTCGTAGAAGAAAGAAGTAAGTTTTTTTGCTTCTTTGTGTTTAATAAGTAAAGTTACTAATTTTAGAGTTATGATGAGGATTTGCAGGAGAGTGGATGATGCAGAGAACATTCCCGTTTCTCTTAATGTGGAGACTGTAGATAAGATGAAAGGAGAGAAGTGTAGAAGAAAGAAGTAAGTTTTTCTTCTTTTTGTATTTGCTTTACAATAAAAATGCTTTGGTGAGTTTAGTACTAAGAGGATTTTTTCAGGCCAGTGGTTGATGCAGAGAACATTCCTCCTACACCTCTAAAACTGGGGGATGTAAAGAGCAACAAAGGACACGAGAGGTTGCTTCAGATCAGAACAAACCCACCATCTCCTCAATGCTTCTCAGAGAATAAGACAGCTTCTTTGAAGGCCTTGAAGACCAGACCAACGGTATGTAATCAAATATACTTCTTCCTTTGCCTGCTAAAAACAGAGACATACAAAAACCCTTGAAGACTAGAGAAAGGCTTTTTATAATCCAAATCATGCAATATCCATAGAGAAAGAAGTAACCATAACTGAGTAAAAGAATGTTTTTGTTTGTTTTGTTGGGTACACAGGAAAAAGAGAAAGAAACAGCAGCAGAGGAGAAGAGAAGAGACATCATCAACAAGGAGGGAGGAGGGAAGGGTTTGGACGTTCTCTGGTTCTTTAAGCCTTGCACAATGGCCAACTAAAAACCAATTCTTTTCTATTCATTTTTTTTTAATTTAATTTCATTATATTTCAACTTGTAACTAACAAGAAGATGATGATCTTGCTCATATACAACATGTAATTCATACAATAAATAAATAAAAACTTGTTTAAACAAATAGATTAATCGATAGAAAAACAAAGAGGAATCAGAATCATCTCTAATTTATTATTAAGATATAATCAAGAACAAGAAACCTAAACCTCTAATCTTGAATCATCTCAAATCGAAAACATGTACGTGATCATAAGTCATAACACACAGGAAACTAAGAGGACATAGACATCTACAAAGCGAAGAAGGAAACTATTAAAAATCAAGAACGGCGAGGAGAAGAGGAGAAGAAGCAATCAAGAAGTCGAGACCAAGCAATTCTTGCACGAGGGAAGACTCTCCGGCTATAAACCCTACCTTCCGTTCCCATCTCCTCCATCGTCTCAACGAACATCGTCAAACATCTGACCGGCGGTATGTACAGAGTTAACGGCGCCGCAGAAAACGCTATCGTGAAAAACAGCTGTAACATTTTTTTTTTTTTGGTTGTGATTCAAGAAAACGAAGATCGCTATTTTGTTTCAGGGTATGACGACTAGTAGTTGTAATACACCAAACAAATAACGTAAGATGTTTTGATTAGAAACAAAAGAGATAAAGAGAAGGTTGCTTTCTTTCATCATCACGTGTTACCCACTTTTTACAACTCTCTTTATAGTTTTAACTTTATGGTTATATCCATCATATGCTTCCTGCCACTTCTAGCAGCTACCCCTATACTGTAGTTACATTGGACCGACTAATTTAAAAATTGAGTTTTATTACGACTATCATATGTTGTCATTTCGAAAGAAAAAAAATATTGTAAAGTTGTGCCTCTTCTTATCCACAGAGGTCCTAGTACTCGGACATCATGTATGTTACCCTTACGCGTGTCAAACTCCAGAACGAATGTGTTGGGTTGTCTTTTGTCTGAAACTGAAAGTTATCATAACTTTGTACATCTTATTTGGTGTAGCAAAATACGATGCTAATCACGTAAGCCGAATTATATATTAAAAAAAAAAGTTGATCTAGTTTCACAAAGGTGGTCGATGATAAAGATTATCATGAATCATCTGAGGCCTCCTTTATTTGATTTTTTCTTCCCCACAGTTTTTTTTTTCAAAATCCAACTAGCATTTCGTCTAACAAACTGTCTTCACGTGACAGTGATGCATCTTTCATCTTCGTTGAAAGCTGATTTTTCAGCTGGTGGTGATGCTCTCTTTCTCTTTGATCTATTTTCTTTACCAATTTTTTTTTCTTCTTTACCTAACTTGTTACTTTCATAGACAATTCTAGGTGCTTCTCGTTGTTCTTAGCTCTCCGGATTATTTTATTTATCTATATATTTTGGGTTTCATAAGTCGTCTTGAATCTTTTTGCAACTCTTGTTGGCCACCATTTACATCTCCTCCTTTGAAGTGGTTACCTCAGCTTGAGACCCTCTCTTTTATCATAAGCATCACATTTGCTACCTCTATGTTGAGAATAGAACCCACTAGAAATAGAATTAAAAACAAGGTACCCAGTGCTTCAAGCAGTTGCATTATCAAACACGATATTGTCAGGGGTCTGATCAAATCGATTTATTTGTTTGGTCTTACACAAAATTTTTATGTAAATAACATAGACCATAAGTCCATAAGGACTTAAAAGGAACTAGTTTAAGAGTTTTGAGGATTATCAGCCCGATCAGAGCCAAAGACTACAAACCAATTAAATTAGTATGCACATACATTACATAACCATATTCTAGTTCATTTATTTTTATTCTACGCAATTTACAAAACGACGCCGTGTTCTTCCTCTTTGGTTAATTCGCTGTTGTCAAGAAGCTGAAGAACCTGCGGCGGCGAAAATCTCCGATCAGCCATGAATGCTCCCGATCGATACGAGCGATTCGTCGTTCCTGAAGGCACCAAAAAGTATTGAACTCGAAACTGTACTCTCTAATCTTCATCCTTTTATGTTGTTGTAATTGCTTCTGCTAAAACCCTGTCTCGATGTTAATCTAGGGTTTCTTATGAGAGGGACACGAAGATCATCAACGCTGCTTCCTTCACGATTGAGAGAGAAGACCATACCATTGGCAACATCGTCCGCATGTACGATTCATTGATTCTCTCTTTTACACTTCTTTTCTTTTTTCAAAAGAAGAAACCCTAATTTCTTCTGAAACAGGCAACTTCACCGTGACGAGAATGTATTGTTTGCTGGATACCAACTTCCTCATCCTCTCAAGTACAAAATCATAGTCAGGGTATGTTCAATTTTTGCTCTGATTTGGAAGGAACACTAATATCCTCTGTGTGTTTTCTCACTTCACTAACTGACCTCAAGGATTTATATTTTAATGGTTGATTAAAGTGTGGGTATTGACTTTTGTTTGCAGATTCACACCACAAGCCAGTCTTCCCCAATGCAAGCATACAATCAGGCTATCAATGACCTTGACAAAGAGCTTGACTTTCTCAAGAGCCAATTTGAGGTAATCTCTCAAGAGTCCTGGTTGGATTTTATTGTGTGAAAGTCACTTGGTAGGAAAGTATATGTTTCTTTTAACCCTGGAGTCTTTTTCTTTAGGATTATCTGTGTATATTATTGAGGTTTTAGTTTGCTAGTGAAATATCAAATGCTCTTGGATTCCAATTTACACACTTGGCATGTGCTTCTGTGTTATCAGGCAGAGGTGACCAGGTTCTCAACTCCCTACTAAGGAGCTAAGAAGTTCTCCATCGGCACTTTGGAAAATGTTCACATTTTCCCTACTCTTAAGGACCAACCAGAAGACTTATAATGAAGCTTGTTGTTACTTGCCTTTATTAATTAGGAACAAATTTTCATGTAATTTGTTTTAAATGTGTGTTTTGGACACCATTCCGGCTGCTAAGAAGTACTGTTTGGATTACCTAGTCTTATTTTTTATCTTATCTACGAAAACATTTTATTGTACAGTCTTTTTAATAGCTGTGGCCTACTCATCCAAGGTACTAAGTTAATGCATTTGGAACAGATATTCACAGGATGGTGAAATCATCATGAAGCCCTTCTAGCTGACCTCTTGTACGCTGCTGCTGAATAATCAACATCGATGTGTTGTGTGAGAAATCTGACCCTGAAAGAACATCACCTATGGGACCAAGCTCTGGACATTGCTGCCAGTCGTTGAGACCAGTGGTTAAGCCGCTACTAGCCCTTCCTCCTCCTCTTCCAACAATCACCAGCCCGTACGCTCCATCCAATGATTTAAGTGCTGTGAAAGTCTCTGAAGAGTTTGTGACATGCTTCTCCATGTAAGACACTCTTCCTCCACCAGCTATATATCTTTCGTAGAACTCTGCAAAACACTCGTCATCAAGCTTCATTTCCTCCTCTTGCTCTACCACACTCGCTCTGTTCAAGATGCTGCTGCGTTTTTGTGCGTTCTGAGTGCTCTTGTCTTCCAAGAAACGTATCACGCTTAGCTTTACGGCAGGGTGTCGAGCTACTTGTGCAGCAAAGGCTAGTGCCTCTCGGCAGTCTCCACCACCTATGAATATAATAGCAATGTCCATGGATGCTCCTGGTCTCCATGCTTCTTCTGTTTGCCCGAACGACCTGTCCACGAGAATTCCTATTGAACACGGTGCGTTCTTCAGAATCTGCACACGTCTCTTACTCCTTAGTGACTACAAAGGAACGCAGAGGAACTGTACTTGTTCGAATATGATTGATTACCTTTCGGTTCACATGACGGAACCCAGCATGGCCAGCGTCAAGAGTGCCATCAGGATTCCTGCTTTTATGGAATGGTAGAATTATAATGGAAACCATAAGCTCATCAGCCAAACCGCAGACGTCATGTGCCATGGTCATAAACGTTGACAATGCTAGCATCCGCCGCACTGTCACACCTTGTCCACTTCGGAGCTCCCCATATCCATTCACAGCCGCGGTTATACCCTCCCGCATCTCTGTCACCGCCCTGTCTGTTATCGTCACTGCCTCACTACTCTGAGCCCCTCCTCCGCCCTTTTTCAGTGTGGCGGCAATCTCATCAGTCAGCTCCACCATATCAGTTGCGTAGAATATGGACCCTGGCTCACGTCCTCCATGGCAGATCTCCATCAAGTTGAGAGTGGAACCAATGTTATGAGGACCATGAAGACCGATCAAAACTCGAAGCTCAGTTGTTGGATCGAGCCACTGTAGCGCCATGATATGCACAGGCACTCGCTTTCTGGCGCGTTTGATAATGTCCATGACCACGAATGGAGAGTAGACCACTGTAAGGACGATGACGAAGATCATCATTGCACCGGTCGTGTTTTTCACTCTGTTTGTCTGCAGCATTTTCATCCAAACCAAAAGGTTAAAAGATCTTGTCTTAAAGAAAAATTGTAAAAGAAAGAAGGCTTGGTACCCGAATGGCTAAGGCGGCCAAGTAGACATGAAAATGTCCTTTAGTGGTTAAAAGCAGTCCAAGAGATGCGGTTTCCGGGATATGATATCCGAGTATTACGCCACACAAGACTGCTCCAATGACTTTTCCGAGTATGACAGTGGCAAGAAGGGCAAAGAATCTTGCATACGCCATTTTGTCTTCTATGTCAAAGTTCCTCATGTGGATTATGAATCCGACCCAAAAGAAAAAGATAGGGTAGAAGACCGTGCTGAGCAAGTAATTGATTTTGTTGATGATCCATTTCGACATTCTTCCTTTGTTTGGAAGGAAGAGACCAGCAGTGAAAGCGCTGAGAATTGGGTTGTACATTGATTCAGGTGGCCAAGTTGGGAAACTGCAAATCAAGACGACAAATGCTAAGGACATAACGAGGTGAGAGCCTTTAAGTGGTTTGCCTTCAGGGTTCTCGTTGTTGACCCAGTTAAGAAAGATCGGTGATACAATGGAAGTGAAAGTGACTTGAGCAAGAAAGAGGCAAAACATGAGGAGGGCTCTGAAGAATCTGTGTAGAGGAAGAGCTAGAGGTTTCTCTGTAGGAAAGAAAATGAATCCAATGCAATAAAACAAGGTTGAGATCATATCAGTGTGGACACCTGCGGCTGATGCGAGCTTTCCTAGATCAGATTTTCTGATTTTGAGATTGGAAATGACACGGGTTAGGATAGGTGAACTGGTACTTGAGGCCATGAGGGCAAGAGCTAGGGAGAAAATGAAAGGAGCGGTTTTGGTGTAATGGAGGAAAGGTGTTGTGAAAAAGGCGAGGACAAAGGTTGTGAGGATACTTGTGTATGCTATGAATGCGTCTTTGGTTGGTGGTTTGAGAAGGACGCTTGGATTCATTTCTAGACCCATCACGAACATATGGCAGATCATTCCAAACTCGATTATGTTGTTGAGAGTAGCCGAGTAAGGCCCCGAGAATGCCTCTCGAAACTTGGGAAGATTACCTAGAATCAGCCCTATCTGAGGCACACAACAAGTCGGATTAGTTTTGGAAATCATCAAAAGAGGGAAGAAGGTGAAGTAGAGATTGACATACTGCAAAGTCGGTGGTGAGGTAAGGTTGGCCTAAAGGCTTCATGATATGATGGAGGAGAGTTCGGATGACAAAAATAGCGATGAAGCCAAGAACCTTTAAAGCCTCTTCAGGCTTGTCTAGGTTAAGGTACCATTTGTCTCCGCATACACTTTTCGTTGTAGTTGTATTCATCCTCTATATCTCTCTCTATGGTTATCTTGGTCCCTCGTATAGTATTCTTGTATTTAGATTGGATTAATGGTTTCTTGGGGAGGAAGAAAGCTTTCGATTTGTTGCTGTTTTCTTGGCTTTTGATTTAGGGCCTTGAGAATGGGAGGAAATGATTGTTTTTACTCAGGAATTGGCGGAGACACTTGTGGATTCCTTCATTCACGTCCCTTCTCTCCCCCAGTCATCATTTGTCAACAGCCTAGTCCATGAAACAAAGGTCAGGCGAACGTGACGTACTATGTTATTAAATTATGCTAACGATATAGTAAATCTTATATAGGATCAAACGTGAAAATGTTTTATTACATAACCATTCAATATTGATGAAAACCTATAAAGAATATTTAGTTTTTGTTCCAAACCTACACACCCAATTTAAAGTTCCAAATATAGTAGTAAAATTTATTATGTGAAAATATTTGTTTAACTACAAGCAATACAGCTTAAATTCAAAAGTTTATTTCTAGAAGGTTTGTTTTGACTATAACATTTCTCCCTTCTGATTCAGGTACTCCTGGATCGAAACCTGGATTGGAAAACAATAGATGAATCTCTGGAGCATCAAAGTCTCAACTCTTGGTAAATAACTTGTCTCTTCTTTCCTACAGGTGCCATTTTATTCATTCGTTCGTTGGATACATATATATACTACTTCACTTTGTTTGATTTCAGAAGCTGCTAGCCAGAAATATTTGTTCAGCTTCATCTTTCTGGATGAGAAAGTTAGCAAGCAGATCATAAAGTAAGGTCACGGTTCTTCCAAGTACTTTACATGCTTCTGTAAGTACCCTTGGCTCTCATGCTCTTTCTTGGTTTATATTCCCTTTGTGGTGGACTCTAATAACAAGATAAATTCACCATTATCTTGTTGAATTTCTCCATCTGGCCCTTTGTACATTGGTCATAGTGTATACAGCATGGTGCAAACACACGCAGCATAAATTTGAGGATACAAGAGCAGCAAGCAACCTATTGAGTTGGTTCTAGAAAAAGGTATGTGGCTATCCATTATGTACTCTCACCTCCCTCTTGTTGTGGAGGCATCATCATTGGTAGATTTGCTGAATCAGCTTGATTTTCTTGTGAACCTATTTGGGAGAAAATCAATTGTGTTGCCTTTTGCTTTAGAGAATGTTTATCCAATTTCTTAAACGAGATTTGTGCACTAGGGAGTGAGATGTCATCTGCGAGACATAGAAAAAAAAAATGGCTGGTTTGGCCATCGGTGTCTCTAGCTTTAACAAATTCAACTATAAGAGACCAAAATTAAAAGGTCAAAACTCAGTTCTTCAATGTTTGCAATGAACTTGAGAGAAATGGAGCTTGGTAATCTTATAAATGATGTGAAGAATATATACATAACATAATTGTGACTTGAGGGGTGGAAGAAAGGTATCTATCTTGTCTAAATAACTACCATGAGGGATTGGGGAGGGCGACATGAGTCCAGGAGAAGTAAGCACAGACCATTAGTTGAGAGATATAGACATAAACTGCAAAAGAAAGACTCATAAGCATCAGATCCTTCATGTCTCCTTTCTTCTCTGGCTTCATATTCTTACCAATCTTCTCAGCCTCTGACATCATCCTTGTCACAGTCCTCTTGATCACTCCTCCGCTATTTTCCTCCGGTGATTTCTGCTTCCAACAAGACATCACAGTCAGAGATCTGACGCTTTGTCTTGTTGTACGGTGGTTGTGATGAGCGCAGAGTGGGTGGTAGAAGGTGGAGAGAGCCGCCATGAGAATAAATTATTGAATAAAGTCTTTTTGTTTTGGGAAATCAAAAATGAGCAAAAGAAAATATCTGAATCATGCCGACAGAAATGTGTGGATAGACCAAACGTAACACACACAAACACATAGAGAACAGAGAGTCACACACATATAAGCAACACATCATGGTGACTTGTGAGATCAATGATGACTCAAAGGTGGATAAGAAAAATAATTAAAAAAGTCAAACCTTCTTGTCCTTCTTATTATTACATGGGTTCCTGTCTTTATCCCTATGATTAAATTAGATTAATTAATCAAGATATGTTTTAAATATGGTTCCTGAAAGAATAAAAAAAAACGAATCAACTCTCAATAAATATAGAGAGGCCAGAGCCCCACGTAAAAAGCCGATAGCAATCATTCTGTCGATTTGTCCACGTGTCCCAATTAGCTGACGTCATATTCCCCCTTTTATTCTCTCCTTCAACACCATCGTCTTCCTCACAAAAAATTTCTAATTGTATGTTTGTTTCAGAGAGATGTTCTCTTCCTCCACTCTCCTCTATTCTCTCTCCCTCTTCCTCTCTCTCTCACTCCTCTTCCTCCTCCTCTCATCCTCCCGCAACAACAACAACCTCCTCTCCCCCGCCGATGAACTCGACGACCTCTCCCTCTTCCACCGCGCCGCCCTCTCCTCCCCCCGTCGTCTCATCTCCCTCTCTCCTCCTCCAAAAATCGCCTTCCTCTTCCTAACAAACTCCGATCTAACCTTCCTCCCTCTCTGGGAACGCTTCTTCCAAGGACACCAACATCTCTACAACGCTTACATCCACTCAGATCCATCCTCCACCACATCTCTCTCCTCCTCATCAACCAACGCTAATTTCAAATTAATCCCTTCCAAAAAAACCGCACGTGCCTCCCCTTCATTAATCTCCGCGGAACGGAGACTAATCGCACGTGCCATCCTCGACGATCCTAACAACCTCTACTTCGCTCTCGTCTCTCAACACTGCATCCCTCTCCACTCCTTCACTTACATCCACAACCGCCTCTTCAAATCTCCTCCTCACCACCACAAAAGAAGCTTCATCGAGATCCTCTCCGACGAGCCGTTCCTCGCCAAACGCTACGCCGCGCGTGGAGACGACGCGATGATGCCGGAGATCCCGTTCGAGGACTTCCGCGTGGGGTCTCAGTTCTTCGTTCTGGCGAAACGCCACGCTTTGACGGTGATCAGGGAGAGGAAGATGTGGAGGAAGTTCAGGTTGCCTTGCGTTGTTGACGAGGAGTCTTGTTACCCGGAGGAGCATTATTTTCCGACGTTGTTGTCTGTTGAGGATCGTGAGGGGTGTAGCGGGTTTACGCTCACACGTGTTGATTGGACGGGGAGTGTTGATGGTCATCCTCGCACGTACGGGGCGGAAGAGGTTTCGGGGGAGATGATTCGGAGGTTGAGGAGGTCGAATTCGAGTTTGGATTATTTCTTTGCGAGGAAGTTTTCGCCGGAGTCGTTGGAGGGGTTGATGGAGATAGCAGATGATGTGATCTTCAGGGATTGAGTCAGTAAATTAGGTATAAAACTGAATCCGTTACAACTCTCGCTGGATCTTGAGAGTCTTATCATCTTATTCTTGTGTGTGTGTTTCAGGTTTTAGGAAGAAGAAGTTTGTAGGCCCTCCTCGAAGAATGGCAAATAAAAGGTGAAACTCTTGTTGTGGGTGTATGTGTGGTGTTTGGGATCACCCTGTAAATCAAAAGGGTGTGTGTGTTTTACAATGTCTTAGGGAAATTTAGATGGAAATTGGGTGTATAATGTAAAATGTAAATAGCATCCAATGGCAAGTTAAGGAGATTATCAAGTTTGCTGAATCTGCTTTCTTTTTAGTTTTCAGCTACTTTCCATGGGAGAGAGAGAGTGAATGGCAAAAAGGCCTCCCCTCTCGCCGGCTTTGTAGTTTGGCATGGTTCATGGTTGAATATAATCTTTTAGTGAAAAAAAGAAGAAAAAACAATCGTTTGTTATATGAACACGAAGTTGATGTATGTAGCCTTCTCTCCCTCCGAAATTCATAAACTCGAGCGTAATTAGTCATCCGCAATGAGAGTTTTGAGTCTTTCAACAAAAATAATACTATTTACACATTAAAATACAAAGTAAATCATTATCATAAATGCATCATTATTTGCAGTTATAATAACTTTTAACCAATAATAATATAGATTACTTTTATTGAAACTTATTACTTCTGTACAAGAACATAAAATATTTATCTTTATGAAACAATTTTTTTTCTTTCTAAAACATAGTATGTCTTAGTAAAACGAAAAGAGTAAATATATGGCTTCACTCATGGGTTACTACGACTAACTTTTTGGAAGATCATCTATTTATTTTATCACTTTTTTATTAAAGACTTTTATTTCATTTATAAGTCAAGGAAGAACAAATAACACTACAAACGATAGGTGTCCACAAGCGGGAATCAATTTATCATTCTAGATTATATACCTAGATTATATACGTTTAATTTTAAGAAAGAATTGGATATATGAAGGAAATTAATGATATATAAACAAAAAAGATTATCAAATATTTTATTATATATCAAAAATTGAGGTGTTATATTTAGATATTTACAACAATCCAGCTAGAAGAACTGACACATTAATTTATTTCGCTTTTCATCGTAACAGTTTTGGAATAACAAATTTGTTGGTCGGAATTTACAACGAAAATAAAAATGAGTTGTACAAGTGACCATCCCAACCCACTCAACAATTAGGAACCCAATTGAACCACACGTAACATGAAGTTGAACCAATCTCTTATATATTAAAAGAGAAGCATTTTGCATTAAATGTTTTCACACCACCTTCTCACAATTTATTACCTTATTTACTACCTTCTCACAATTTATTACCTTATTTACTACATTCTCACAATTTATTACCTTATTTACTACATTCTCACAATATATTACCTTATTTACTTCAACAATTGTTTATCTTATTTACTTCAATTATAAAACACACGAGATATTTTAAAACTACAAAGTTCAATATCGCATGAGACAAGTTCGGAGGCAAGTGAATTGACTTGAGGGTCGATGTCAAAGTTCTGGAACGTCGTTATTAGAGCGGTGGGACGTATCTAAGATGATGGATGTGAAGGGCAACGTACCGGAGCCCATGAACGCGATCTTGGTTTGGACATGGCTCGTGTGTAGCGTGAAGAGATTGAACTCAACCTTGCTAAGTTTGAGGTAGTTAGTGTACAGAGGATAGATCTAAATGGTGAAATGTGTTGTCTCCGAGAGATCCCAAGGCCGTATAGTAGTGGTGCTCTGAAAACTCTATATCTTCACTACGTAGGTTGGTGAGATTGGTTCTGTAGTTATGGACTTTTGGGCACAAGTTTTTAACGTCGATTTTTGTATCCATAGGCAAGGACGTGGACATGAGCTATTGAACAAATTGTCGACATATATATGTGAAAGGTTTAAGGGCTCTTGAGATTGGAGATTTCGTTATACAAGTCGAGAATTTGCTTCTCGAAATGAGCCTTTTCACAACCCATCTCGAGACTAAAAGGAGATTTGGGATTGTCTCGATACTCTTAATGGTATTGACAGCAATATATTTTCATCTTACGTGTTTCCATGTCGTGTGGATGACAAAAAAAACAGATATATGAGACAAAATCGCAATTTAACCAAAAAGACAATATTTATAATATAGATATATAATTGGACGATATTAAAACCCGAAACAACCAATCCAAAACAAACTAATATGCAAATAAAACAGATATAATGTCTTCTTATCTTCAAAANTTTCATCTTACGTGTTTCCATGTCGTGTGGATGACAAAAAAAACAGATATATGAGACAAAATCGCAATTTAACCAAAAAGACAATATTTATAATATAGATATATAATTGGACGATATTAAAACCCGAAACAACCAATCCAAAACAAACTAATATGCAAATAAAACAGATATAATGTCTTCTTATCTTCAAAAAATACAATAAATTTAATCATCTCACTTGCGCCGATCTAATCCTAGTATACAATATATTTTGGTAACACACTAAACTATTCTGTTCCAGAAAAGACGACTTTTCTGCAAGTCAGACACAAACCAGAGTCCTTAGAAGATCAGACGGGGGAATATCTGAGGCTTAAGCTTTTGTGTCCTCTTAAGAAGATAAGATTGTTTTCTTTGATTTTTTCCAAAAGCAATTTAAATTTAACTCAATTCTTGTTTTTTGAGGATAACTCGTTCTTGATTTTGGAGAAGAAAGAACTAAGAACATAACCAGGAAACTGGCTATTTGAGAAACAAATGGAATCGATGGTGAATAAGTTGGAGCAGAAACTGAGATCTGGATGGTCTTTGAAGAAGAAGAAGAATGAAAAAGACTTGCAGGAAGAAAGGTGGTTCTTAGAGAACGGAACCATTTCGTTAGAAAAACTCATCGCTGATTGTAATGGTAAATCCGTTCCTTTACGCACCTTTTCTTCTGACAGATCCTAAAAGCCACAAACAACTTCGACTCCAGCTGTTTCATAGCCTTCGAAGGGCTCCGCACGTAGTGGTACAGAGGCGTCATCGAAAACAGATCCTACATGATCAAGAGGTACCTTGTGGATGAAGGTACAGAACACAAAGTGGGGGATGTTTACAATGACTTCGTCTTGTCTGCTCGGATGAGCACACACATCAACTTCCTCAAACTACTAGGATGCTGCTTGGAGTCTCGTTACCCTGTTCTTGTCTTTGAAGACGCAGAACATGGGGTTTTGAATCAGCGAGGAGGTGTTATGGTTATTAACTGGGAGGAAACTTTTCTGCCGTGGAGTGTTCGGTTAAAGATCGGTAAGGAGATCGCAAACGCGTTGACTTATCTTCACACGGCTTTCCCTAAGATCACAATCCATAGAGATGTTAAGCCAACGCATGTTTTCTTGGACAAGAACTGGACTGCTAAGTTGTCTGGCTTCTCACTCTCCATTACTCTCCCTGAGGGCAAAACAAAAAGCGCAACTGTTCCCGTGGTGGGAACATCTGGTTACATCGATCCATTGTACCGTGTCACAAGTTCGGTAACGGAATATACTGATGTGTACAGCTTTGGAGTCTTTTTGATGGTGCTTCTCAGTGGCAGACCAGTGTTTTTCACCGATTCTTCTAATGGCAAGCGTGAAGGAGTTGTTGGCTACGTGAAAGACTTGTATGAGAAAGACAAGCTTGATGAAGTGATGAATACAAAGATGGTGAAAGATATGACAAGTGGTCAACGGTTTCAAGTGGAAGCATGTGTTGCACTTGCTCTGAGATGCTGTGAGAAGATAGATGAATATAGGCCAAAGATGATCCAAGTAGCTAAAGAACTCAAGCGGATTCAGATATCATTTTAAAGTCCCTCACTGTTCTTGGACTATGAAGCCAAGTTGTAAATTCATACATGAATAAAGTAAATTGTCTGAGGGAAACCTAAAAATGAACAAGAGATTTAATAATCTGTTACATAACATTAGTTGTAAGTTGGTTTTTCGTTTTCAATATTTTATTGTTGCTTCTGAAATTAAGTATGGTGAAGGAAGAAGGAGATGATAATCATCGACAAAACTAACACGAAATCTTACAAAACGTGTCATGCCATTCCATCGATAGAAACCGTGAGAAAAGTCTTTGTTATCTCTTTTTCTATTTATTAACAAGTTGACAATTAACATTAAAGAACCAATTCTCTCCTTTTCGTTAGAATATTTAATTTCGATAAGATATGGTAAAATGGTTTATGCCTCTTCCAGTAAGGTTTATTCCATCATCATTTGAGGTCATGAAGACCATGTCTAGGTAAACCACCATCGGCTTTGTTCTCCTCAAAATCAAAAATCATATCAATCATTTTTGTTGTTGTATGTAATTCACGGAGACCACCAAGAAGTTTCTATCTTTGATTCTCTGTAAGTGTTTCTTCATTGGGCCATGTTTAAAAAAAAATCTTAAAGAGTTGACTACTGTTGTATCCATCCACTATGTTGATCTTGATCCTATTCTTTCAGCACCATCACTGCTTTAATAAAAATAAAACCCTTAATATCCCATATATATCATAATCTTGAAAAGAACTAGTATTTTCTTGAAGATCTGGAGTTTAGAATCAAAGATTAATATGGATGAGGAAGAAGTAAAGGCTTGGGCCCTAGCATCAGGAGCATGTAGTCACACACATAGTTGCAATCCTCCAGGACCAGAGGATGCTTCTCACTCACACACATGCTACCACACTCACACTCATCTCATCATCCCAGTATAATATATTTATACAACTTACTTTCTATTTTATTTTATACTAGTATGTATGATCTGATGATATATAAATGGATTGTTATAAGATTATAACGGAGTGTTTATTTTGTAACAGGATTCGCAAGAGAATGATCATTCTGACAGCAGCAACAAGAGGCGATCACGTGGGAACAAAGAGGCAGTGAGGAAGTACAGGGAGAAGAAGAAGGCTCGCACAGAATACCTTGAAGACGAAGTCAAGAGACTGCAATCTATGAATGAGTTCTTGCTTAGAAAGCTTCAGAGTCAAGCAATACTGGAAAATGAAATCATCAGACTCCGGACTCTTCTGGTAGATATGCAGGGATCAATTGATGATGAACTCAGTGGTTTCTCATTTCAGAAGCAATGCAACAGTTCTGGTTTTGTGTTCAAAGAAGGTGATGTCTCTTTCTGTTTGGCTTACTAGATAACATATAATAAGAAGATGAATATATGTGGAAGGTGGAAGTAAATAGCATATATATATATATGATATTGGTGATAGCTGAATAATGGAATAGGGGAAAAAATAAAATATTTGTTAATATATCTTGAAATGTTGAAAAACGATTATTTGCTAGGTTTGTAATTTTTAATGTGTTAATATTTTAACACATGCATCATCATATCATATATACAGAACTCATCTTTCAAAAAAAATGTTGAAATTTGATAAATATTGTGAATGGTAAAAGTAACAACATTGAAAAAGGAGAAAAGTAGTAAAACCATTCATGGCCATTCTTTTTTCACAAACTGTCTTTTGAGGTTTGAGTTCTATTTGACCTAGGCCAGATGGATCATAACACAATCTCAATTTCGTGTAATTAAACAGATGGATGCAACGTAGCAACAAGGAATGTGATGTGTGAAGTGGCAAGAGTAGAGTGCCAGGAGGGCAAAGCACTTCATGAACCTGTTCACTCTTATGTTCCCCATTCACCACCATTCTCACGTTAAGGCTTTTCACAGGTTGTGATATTGTGTTTGTGTATATATATACATCAATATATCATATACGGGTTTACTTAGGGGATATAGGTTTGATTCCAATACAGGTAACATATGCACATGTTACAGCTTATTCCACATATGACTATTTTGGAGGGTACTAAAACATATGGAATTGATAGATGTAACTTGATTTTGGAATGAGAAGGACGAGGAGGATTGTAGTTGTATGTATGTATGTATGATGATCTTGGGCTTGAAAGATCTTTTGGGGTCCATATTTAGATTCTCTATATGTGGGCATGGTGAAAACCCAAACACATAAGGATAAGGTATGCAGCATACATGTGAGTCTATTGGTGTGAACTGCCCCAATCATTGTAATTTTATTCAATTTGTTTCAGAACATTTTCACATAATAATCATTCTCCCATGTAAAATTTTACATGGGAATCAAATATTTGTGGATGGGACAATGATAAGTGCCGCAATCTTAGATTTTTTGGGGGTAATTATTTAGCATAGGGTATAATAATAAACAATAGTGAAACGCACATAACATAATCATAGAATGAGGTGTTAGGTGCGTCGGCTCTTGAGACTGACCATTGCTTTTGAATTGACACCCAAGAATAACTATTATAATTATTGATTTACCTTGTGGGTCATCTTCTTTTACAAAAAGATCCTTTCGAATTTTAAAATTTTGAAAAGCTAATTCTTTTGACCCTACACTGGTTTAGAACAATGATGTCTTTTCATTTTTAATCCTACCCTCTCATGTATATAATACAGCGTAACAGCAATATAATAGTTTGAATATCTATACTATTAAAAGAGAAGGAGTCTAAAAAAATCTACTTATACAAGGTTGTTTGGACCTATTCATTATTTAATTATTTTTTGGTCCAACAATTATTTACTCTAACTATAAACAATTAATTACTCTAATTATACGATTATTGTTTCACACACCACGAAACTGGATTTCATTATTGAGACTTTGAGATTTGTATGAAT